CCAGTGTGTGTTCATCCCATCAGACATAACTATATAATTTCTAATTTCTACATTATTCAGGTGCAGTTTTGCACCAAATTTTGGAGTTCTCTGAAAGGAATACTTTTTCTTGGCACTCATGCAGTTGCATATACTGCTCACAGCTACCCGAGTTCCTGGGTCAAATACCCTCCTCAAAACAATCCTTAGGTTGCGGGTCGGCTTGAGGGGCACCGATGGGGTGGGAGCAGAGGGTTTATCCCACATGGAACAACGATAGCTCAGGCCACCAGCGCCTGTCGTGTGCACTTGGCAATTGTCCATCCAGGTGAGGGAATCTGCACTGGAGTTGAAGAGTGATGTCACCACATAACTGACTGTCACAGTTACAGTTTCTGACACAGAGTGGCAACTATTTCTCGTTATTCCGGTGACTATTTAAAGAAATCTGGTTTGACCTCGAAAGGGCTTTTCTCCCTCGCTGTACTTGGTGCAGCTGTGTTGAAAGGCTCCTATTTCTGTTTTGAAGTGAGCCTGCTTCCTAAAACCTAGAAAGGTGATTTCCATGCCCACCTGCCCAGGGTACTGGTTATTAAAAGGATCCTCCTGCTGTGCCTGTCCTGCAGCCTCTGTCTTACAGGAAGCTTTAGTAACAAGCACTTAAACCGTGTTGGGTGGGTACCACTTACACTGGCATTGGCTGTAAACCTCACTCCTGAACACTGTTGTTTAACGAATCACCTGCCTTTCAATGCACTTCCTCCTTTCCCTTCTCCCAGAATACCCTCTGAATTTGTTTTACCTATCCCTTATTTGTAATTCTCTTCCCAACTACAGAAGGCTAGAAAATTTGCTGGACAGCCCAATTTTGTCACTACACATAATTTATTTTTGAGAAACCATACAGGGGATCATCTGCTTCTCATTCTGACTTCATGAGCACAGACTGAAGACAGGTTTTCTTTGGGCAACAATCTTTTTTCAGTCTCTTATTTTGTGTATTTTGTTCTCTTCTTAGGATTTATGGTTGTACAGAAATATTGCTTAACTGCACTTAAGTGCCTGTAAGCCAGAAATACATGTGTGGAGGGAGACATTCAATGGGTTTGTGTTTCCTTCTTAGACTAAATGTATTCTGTGAGCACAGGCAAACAAAGTGTAATGATTCCTTGAGGAAAGCCACTTGTTTCATGTTTATGGAGCTTTTTTATTTTGAACAGTCCCATTTGGAGATGGACTTTCAGATTCAAGGTCAGCGTCAAACACCTCCTGTGTGATGCATCACTGCAGTTCTGAATGTTATTGTTTCATCTCCACATACAAACCTGCAGGTCAGATTCAAGTTCTGTGTTTTGGATCACTCCTCATCAATTCTTTTCATTTGCTGTCCAAAAGTACTGCTGTTGCCAGAGAGAGAGGATTCCTTTCCTCCCCTTCTTATTGACATCCACATGAAATAATGGGTGCAGAAGTTGTTACGAAGTCTGTGTTCAGCCTTCAAGTCATCTTGACCAAACTTTCCAGACCAACCGTGTACAGGCTTCTACACACTTACTTTTTCTCTTTGGGCAACCAATAATTACAGGTTCCTCCATGATTAGTGTAAATTTTTCCTCCCTTTGATTTTTAGATGTTGACTGAGAAACGCACTCAGGCCACTTCCTTAAATGTCACACTACATATTTTTAGGAGGGCGCACACAGTTGGCCATCACAAGGCCTGTATTTCTCTGAGCAGGCCCTTTACAAATTTGTGTAGTTTCTGAACTTTCCTTCCATCTATTTTTTCTGTCTCTCTACATCAGAAAAAGAAAAAACCTTTCCATTATTTCAGTGTATTTAAAAAATTTCCAGTTGAGAATCAGGGTAGTCTTTTGGTGTCTTACCTCTTCTGTCTGAAGCTCATAATAGACTTCAAAGGCAAGTTTCAGGGTTGTATTTATTGTTTGGGTAGTAGGTACTGGTGGAGTTTTGTTCCTTTTTCTTACAACATTTTACAAATCATAGTGCAGATTTAGCTTGTGTACATCTTCCAGTGCCACACACAGTTTCTTGTTCCACAGCTGAAGACACTCTCTTCCACCTTCAGAAGGTGTGAGGAGCCAAGGAACCTGAAAGTCAACCACCTTCCCTTGTAGGTTCCCCTTGAAAATAACTATTTATCCTTCTTTACTGGCCACTAGTTTTGAAACTAAAACATATAGGCCAGCCCTGTGTATGTTCAGCTCTGTTTTCACAGAGTTTTACATCTTCTTAGTAGTCTCAGTTTAAATAGCCAGAGCTCTGGCTTAGAGACACTGTTCTGCTGAAGGTGCATAACTAATGTCAGCCAGTGGTAAACAGCAATTTCGTTATTATTCTCTGAGTCCCTTAATCATAAAGATTCATATTAAAGAACAAAAACTATTGAAGTGGTATGTTCTTATTTTAGTAATTGGTCTTTTTCATCTTATTTTAATTCTTGTATTTCCTTGGGATTTTTAGGTTGGTGGTGGGTGTTGTCTTCAATATCTCTTTTTAGGGTATGATTTGTGGGGTTGTTTTTTGTTTGGTTGGTTGGTTTTGGTTCTGAGTTTTTTTTAACTTCCTGCAAGAAAGTTTTTTCCTGAAATAAGTTGCCTCGGGGTTTCTAAAGCTGAAAACACCAAAGAAACCAAAGATCAAAACATATATTAGAATGTAACATCCATGGCACACGAAACATAGACTCTATATATGATTTAACCCAATAAACATAATCATGTTTAATGTGTGAAACTTCAGTATCTTTCAGATGGAAATGTCACACTACTAGACTGCTAAAGGAAGTTCAGGGTTTTATTGGGTAAGACCCCAAAAAAGCATAACTGTGCTTTAGGAAAATGAAAGTTGCTATAGCTTGTTCGACTTGAGCTGTTCCAAAAATCAACCCTTCTTTCTAAAATACTTTTCCTCCATTTCTCATTTTTTATTGGGTTATTCTAAGTATGCATGACATTATATATATTCTATTTTCCACGTTTCCCTACTCTGTATTTCCTTATGTCTTTTCTTAACTAATTGATGCATTCATCTTTCTTTAGCTGATGTTTCACAGATTACTCAGTTGGGCTTCAGTGCAGAGCCTTTTGGCTGCGCCCATGAGGAATGATTTGGTTTAGCACCAGGGAAAGGGTGGGGATACCAATGCCACCCACACTGCACAACAAATAAATTTAGGGGGCCGGGACCTCTCAGTGACTATCCTGAGTCCTGGCTCCCGGTCTGGCCTGGCACTGAGGCCCCTGCCAGTGTCAGTGGTGGTGGGGTGGCTCCTTGTGGGGCTGGGATGTCCTCAGTGCTGCTGGCCCTTCTCTTTAGGGCTCGCCAGCTGCCTGGGAGTGAAGCCCTGGGCACAGCCTCCTCTACATCCTGCTGCAGCATCTCTCACTCCACGGAGGTGGACCTTGGGAAATGGACCTCAGGAGGGTTGCAAGGACAACTGACAAAAGCAACAAATCCTTTTGATGGTTGCCATGGTGTTCCATCCTTGCAACAGGTATTAAGGATGATTGCCATGGCAACCAGCCATAGCGAGGGGGTCTCAGGGAAAGTTGCTCTGCAACTCAACCCTAACAACAGGTTTATGGGATGGTTATCATGGCACTGTCCCTGGGCACTGGGTCTCAGTGCTGGTTGCCATGGCACTGGTCCCTAGCAACATATCTCAGTGTCTGGTTGCCATGGCACCCTACCTCTGCAACACAGTTTAGTGATGGTGGTCATGGTACCCAAACTCAGCAAGGGGAAATTCTGCCATGGCACTGCCCACAGCAACAGAGCTCAGCACAGGCTGCCACAGCACTGGCTCTGACAGTGGGTCCTTATGGGAGACATCTCAGCAACAGGACCTTCTGATGACTCCCATGGCACCTGATCCAAGCAACACGATCCTGGCAGCAATTCCCAGCAACCTTTGTCTTTGTCTTTGGTTTCCACAGCACCCAACCCTAGCAATGGGTTTTATTGCACCTGCTGCCATCACATCTCAGGCAAAGCGCGAGTTTAGCGCTGACATTCTGACTGGGAAGTTTTTGGACTGCCTCTCCGCCCGTGTTCCAGTGATCTGTGATGCTTTGGATCGGGAGGCACCTGAAGTATTTCCTTCCCCACTGTTAAAATGAAATTAACTTATCGCTTTCTCTTCCTTCTCATGGCTGGCTGTGGTCACAAGGAGACTTTCATACTTGGACAAAACAATATTTTTCACAGTTACTTCCTGATGATTTTTTTGCTGCCACGCTGGAGAAAGACTTTGAGTGAAAGTCACAGTTTCATGCTTTGGACTGACTCTTGGAAGGTATTGGCCCTTTCCATTTGGAGACAGTCCCACCAAAGACTGAGTTTTCCAGTCTGGTCACTCCTGTGAGAGAAGCTGATGCAGATTCTGAGGACTGATAATAAAACATGGCCAGTCAACTGTCAAATCTACCCTGGTATGTGTGTAATACTGTAACAGCCTTTCTCTGAACCTTATTTTTGACGTTTGCCAAGATGCAGCTTCATGTGGAAACATGAAATTTTTATTTTTTTTTTAACTATTACAGTTCTGGATGACAGTCATTGGAAATTACCACACCTTTGACTTCCATGAAAAATTCAGATTTCTTCACTACAAAAGTAAAAACTACTGGTGGGAAAGAGTCACCACAACTGCATCTGTTCAGACTACCATGACTACCTGATGGTCACTGAACATATGGGAAATTGTCCCACAGATCTCTGGAGGCTGCTAGAGGAGCTCTAAAAAGCAGCATCATATAGATGGGTGAACAGTGATATTGCTCTTTAACCCAGTTCTTTGTGTCTTATACTGCTGTCTGATTTTCCTAACAAAAGTCTGTATTTCATTTATTGCTGCCTATTAGTACCTCTTTCAGTCATTCTCTAAACTACTGCACAAGTAAGCTGGGTTTGAAATATGAGGGTAGTGCATGTGCACACATACAGTCCTAGTGGTACACAGCAGTGGAAGTGCTCCATGTGTAAATAATTTACAGCAGAAACTAGTAAATTCGCTTTTATTAAATCAGTTTATCACAACCATCATGTTACAAAAATAACTTCGGAATGATGTTAAATATTAAATACAAAGGTAAAACAGTTGTGCAGTATTCTTAAAATAGAATAACATTTTTTGTACATATGAATGTTTCTACATAATGTAGCTGACCTGGATCTGTTTAAGACTGTTCATCTCCCTTTACCAACTATATTTAGTTCTTCTTGACCTGAAGACATACAGAAAGAAAACTACACATTAAGGAATTGAATTTCATCGAGGTAAGACTGAAAGCAGTGAGAGTTTCCACGCTGCTTAAGAAGGAAGCCAATGCAAGACTCAATCCATTTTAAGTAGAACAATTATTGTTTTTACTGAAACCAAACACTGGCAACTGTTTGGAAGTGCACAGTGGCTGGGAAATTTTCACTTATCTTCCACATCTGCTATCATGGCCTCAACTGCATTCCAGTCCAGCTTGCTGAGGATACTTCCCGTGCTTTCAGAAATGCTGTCGGTGTTGATACCCAGAGGAGAGAAACTCATGCCATGCCCTGCAGGGTCCTGTGGGAGGGAGAGAACATGAGCTGAAAAGTGCATCTTTCAGGGATGGTAGAAACAATCCCACCCTTTTCAAAAATGTCCTAATCAAGTTATGTGATTATTCTGCAACAAATGCAATCTGTTTTCCTGTTTATGCACTCCAACCAGTGTCTGTTACCTGGACAGTGTAACTATGTGGTTGTTAAAAAGAACATTCAATTTCAAGACTCAGAAGAATGACTTTGCTTGTAAAGACAAAAGGCAGTTCAGTTGAAGCATCATCATTTATGTCCTGCATCTATCCCACACACATATTTAAAACAGAGAACCACATTTTAAATAAAGCAGAAGCAAAGGAAGTGTTAAATTGCAAGTACCAAATAGTCCCTAGCATAACTAGAAATTCTACCTGAAACATGGAGTCATGAGAATCTTGAAGTATTCTTTGGATATCATCAGGCACAGTCCAAGGACTTCCTATATCTTGATCACTCTCTTCATCAATACCTTCTGTCTGAACTGCAGTGTCAACTTGTGGGGGCTTTTGTTTTGAGGTTCTGCTGACTCCGTACTTGGCAGCTGAGGAGAAAACAGGCCAACCACAGCACTGTAACACTTCTTGCTGTTTTCTTCTAAATCTCTTTAAACTTCTCCAAGAACAGAAGCTACAATTTCTAAGAACTGAAGCCGTGAGTAAATCCATGTGAAAACAGCATGCCCTGCTATCTTGAGCTGATGTGGGGTGATGGTGAGAAAAGGTTGCTGGTCCCTTCCAGCTTCATGCTCTGAACTGTCGTCCCAGGGCAGGACCCTGTCGTCCCGTGGAACAGGACCACGTACAGTGTCTAGAGCATCCAGGTTCTGCAGTGCAGTCCCCCAAAAAAGGGACATTGCTTCATTATTTGACAGAGGACTAAACTAAACAAATCCTGGATTGTGCCTCTTAGAAGACATGAAACTTTAATAAAATCCTTAGCGGTGATGTGGTATATTGGAGAAACAGATACAGAAGGTGCCAGGAAATCAGAGGAAGATCAACCTGTATACAGAGTTTAAAAAGAGAATGTGTGGAAAGGAGGAGGAAAATTACTTTCCATGTGTAGAGTGATTCAGGAACAGTGTCCTTTCTGCTTACTATTGCTTCTCTCAATTTCCTGCATTGCCAACTCAAATACACTGACATTTGGCTATCCAATTATGTCACTAGTATAATTCTGGTGTATGGCAGAATGCAATCAACCCACAGTATTTCCTAAGTTATAGGTTGATTCTCTCCTCACTCTTTTTCTATCTGATCAGAAATTCTGCTGCTGTTAACAAGTACTATGTCTGTTAAAGGCTTTGATTAGGAGGGATTATTTATGAGAGGAAACTTTTATGGATCCAGACCCACAAAGATAGGCATGGCAAAAAGTACCACTAAAATCCAAAAGGGTTTTTTTGTTCAGTCACAAATTTTTCCACAATAACATTATGACAAAATCATATCTTTTCTAGATACTGTACAGAGGGTTAATAAAGACAATTTCTATTTTAAAGATCTTAGAGAGTAAGCAGAATAGAAAGGCAGGGGAGAGGCACAATACTTGTGTCCTGGTCTTCTAATTAACTTTCTCTCTGCAGGTTTCAACCAAATTAAACACTCAAGGCTTCTGTCCCTCATGATTTCATAATGTGTGTTTCAGGAATTCACTGAAATCTAGCACAATTTTTCAGATCTTGAAACTACCACCTGGCTAAAACCATTCAGAAGGTAAACAGAGGTGACTGATTAAATATTTCACAACTTTTTACTTTAAAGGATTTTTATGAGGGGGAAAAATGATGATTTTTATTCTTCCAAACTAATGCTGTATCTGAGGCAGGATGTATTCACAGAATCACAGTGTGAGTAAGGTTGGAAGGGACCACAGTGGGTCATCCAGTCCAACCTCCCTGCTCAAGCAGGGCCACCCCAGAACACATGGCACAGGATTGTGTCCAGATGGTTCTTGAATATCTCCAGTGAGGGAGACTCCACAACCTCTCTGGGCAGCCTGTTCCAGCACATGCAGTAAAGAAGTTCTTCCTCATATTCAGGTGGAACTTCCCGTGCTCCAGTTTCTGCCCATTGCCCCTTGTCCTATTGCTTGGCAACACCGAGCACAGCCTGGCTCTGTTCTCTTGGCACCCTCCCTTCAGCTACTGATAGACGTTGATGAGGTCCTCTCTCAGTCATCTCCATGTTCTGAAGAAGAGAACACATTCTGAAATGTGTTCTCTGTGTCTTTCTTCTCCCCTGTATTATGTATCTGCACTGCACTATATCATTGCTCTACGTAACTTACAGTGCCTAGAACCAACAGGACAGTTTGCAGCATTTCTCGGTCTTCCTCTGGAAGTACTTTTCTGTAGAGCCATACAGGCATTTCCTGAAAAGCCAAAGAAAGCATTTCTTCTTTTAAATGCAGAACAAACATATTCAAAGATGCTTAAAAATTTCCATCTATGAGTTTTGCTTCCTGGATTACCCAGTACTCTTGCTATGGAAATTTAAGCTACTTTGGATTTAAAGAGAGGTGATAAGGAAAGGTAACTCTCATCATTTGACAGGTCAATGACAACACAGTTACAAACGCCTCATAACAGGAGACTTCCAGGATTCTAAGACTGATTTTCTACACAGGTATTAAAGTTCCTCCCTCCCAAAAATGCAGCAGTAGCTTGAAGATCATCTTCATCATGGGCCTTCATAAAGGAAATTCTTTCTTACCCTGGGACTGTGGGAAACCAAGAGCTGGGGTGCCACAGTGTATTCTTTGACCAAAGCTGGGTTTGGCAGCAATTCTGCTCCTTTCTGACAAAACAGGACTGTTCAGATGCCCTCTAAAATAAGAAAAAACACAAACACAGCAACAAAGCTTAAATACTTACCATTGTCTACCACCTATCATTCCTCTACATAACAATTTCAAGTGTGGTAAAGACACTAAGACACAAGAGCAGGTTTAATGCTTAAGAGCTGTTACCCTTTACTAGATGCCATATGCCTTCTTCTGTACCCTTGAGGTGATCTGGTGCTGGACAAAGTTTTATGATCATGTGCTGGTGTTTCAGATAACATTTCATTCATCAGAGAAAGTGCCTGTGATATTCTCATTCTGTGATGCTCAGATAACAGGGATCTATGGAGAAATAATATTACAGATTACCTTGTGCTTTCACTCATTTCACTGCAGCTGGCTTGTGAGTCTTGTAAGGCTACATGAAGAACACTTTTCTTGCAGTTTCACAGAAGATGTACTAAACCTTTTAAGATCACTACCAAAAAGTTAAATCATTTCTTACCAATGGGTTTGACAAGACTGAATGAATCAGTGTTAGGGAAAAAAAAAAGAAACAATGAAATTTGGAAGTGAAAAATACAGTCAAAGGATGAAACACATTCAGGATTTTCCTAAATGGTAAAACAAACATCAATTATTTATGCTTTTGTTTGAAATATCTTGACATATCATTCATATCTGAAGTTTCAGAGACAAGATAGTTAAAACTACCTTTTTCTTAACACTGAAAGATTAATATATAAATAAGAAGATAAAAAGTTATAGCAACTTACTTGTCTTTTTCTTCTTTCCTCTTCTGGAACATTCTAATATCCTTTGAAGTAGGACTATAATGCTGTGTAAGAAAAAGTATAAAATTCATTAACTTATTAGGTACTGTGGTCTCATTCCAATCTCTCACTCTCAAAATGTACTTATTTGACTTAAAAGTTACTGCTTAAGACACTCTTCAGAATGAAAAACAGTATGAAAGCATACAGCCCTACCAGAAAATTCAGGTAAGATTATCTCTATAACTTTCCAGTCTCTAAAAATATACTGAAAGCTTGCAGTCACATCTTCCATAAGTCTTATGCTCTAAAACATTAACATTCCTAGAGAGATGTTTCCACTCTCAAGCTCAAAGCTTCAAATGGCCTCGCCTTTAAGTCTGCTAAAAATCAATGATGTTCCTAATAATGACTAATTTAAAAAACAGGTCAAGGTTGCACTTTGGCCTGTGTTTGCTAGAGTATAATTTGAATTTTTCAGTGCTTTCTTCTTAAAGAAAAAAAAAAGCAAAACCCATACCAAACCACCTACCAAAATCTGAGAATTCCTCCACTAATGATTTCAGGAGAAAAGCCTATGACAAAAGCATCAAGTATATATTTATGGGTTGGCAACACAGGAAAGGGAGAGAAGCAGGACCTATTTTTCTTGAATCACTTCTCTCTACAGGTGTACAAAAAAAGCAGCCCAGCTCAACCTCCAAAAGGCTGTTTGAAACCAGGGGAAATAATGTATTTCAAATAGATGAAATCTGTTACTCTTTCTAAAAGTGAATACAATTGAATTATTTAGTAACAGAAAACTTGTGTGTGTTACATGTTTGCTACTTGGGAGTTAAAACCAGAAGAGCTTCTGCCTGGAAGTATTTACAGCATCCCCTGAATTCAACTAACAAGTAAAAAGTACAGGGATGTATTTGCTGTTACTATGTCTCATCTCCTGTAACCCCAGAACTTCCTCTGACTCAGCAGGGTCTTTTCAGGTCCTAAAGGTATCCAGATGACAAGGGCATGTTTTAAGAATTAATACTGATTAGGAAATCACTTCTGAATGGCTTTTGTAACTTTTCCCCCCCCCCCAGTTATTTCCAGCACAGTGCGGATCAGAAGAAACTTATCGGCTATAAACTTGTATTTTCTGCTAACTCTTTATAATTGCACACACTTCTGTGTGGGTGATGGCTGCCCTCAGTATCTAATTATGTTCCTAAAGGATTGCTGGCATCTGAACTCTGCTTTTTAAATCCAGTGAGGTTTTTGGGGAGGCGTGCAGGAAGATGAAACAAGATGTAAACACATCTTAGCAACTGCTGTAGCTCTCACTCCCTGACAAAATGCTGTTACAGCTGTATCCATTACAGTTAAAGGACTGTATGTCCTATTGCAATCTGCAGCCAACTGCCATCACTGCAGCCGGTGAAGAACACTGGTGTATTTGCTCACTGATCTCTACTGACACAACTATGTCCAGTTCCAATAAAATAAAATTCTACATACAAACCTCCAATATTAAAATAGAAAAAAAAATAAATCACTGTCAGTCTTCATACTATCTAACCTGAATAATCAACACGTGTACAACATGTAACAGTTACTCTTCAAGTTCCCATTATTCTTACCACATTCTTTCTTAGGTTGAATGGATAACGTTCTTTCTGTCTTTGTTCCTCCAGTTTCTTCATATATTCTCTCATTCTTTCCTTTTGCTTTCTTTTCATCCATGATTGTATCTCTTTCCTCTCCTTTTCTGTTTTTTGAGAATGTGCAGCAGCACAACCATGAACCCTGAGAGCAGATGTGAATAAGAAATAATCTAGCACATCCTGTAAATTGCAACCTGCGGCAACTACACATGATATAATAAAATACTGTAAACCCTTTAAAATTCTGACTCAGCTGGAAGCATAAGTAATGAACAAGAGGGGAAATTTTCTTCTGCAAAATTTTGCTCCATAAAATCCTGGCACACAAGTAATTTCCAAGACATTTCCTAAATTTTTTCTGCCAGTTGTCAACTACATCCAGATAATAGGACCAGAGCGTAAACTGGTGTGGCACCAATGCAACAGACTGGCATCCTTAACAACTGTATTTTTTTGTTTTGTCACACACAGGAGTAAGAAACAGCTCTCACTTTGACCTCTCGCAGGAAAGAACACAGTTGATCTTATAACTGACACTCAGGAAGTGTAGAAACCTCCATCAGGAAGGGAAGCATAACAAGCTGCAGTTTGGGACTGGAAGCTTCTGAGTCTGCTGTGCCACTGACAGCAAATTTCTACTCTATCTTTCAGAACTGCTTTAGAAGGTCCCAGTCCATTTGCTGAACTGAGTCTGCTGTATATAGAGATTTCTGCCCCAGCCTACACCTGGTAGAAGAAAGACCAAGAAAAGAAAGAATTTCAAACCCAAAATAACAGAAAACAACTAGCACGTTTTACAAGCCAGTAAATTTGTGGCTATTAAACAGTTCTAATACCAGTCCCATTAACATCAACTCAAACCACATACCTGCTTCCATTATTTACTGGGTACGAGCTATGAGAAGAATACGGAGGGTTAAAATGATTTAACTAGCACATAATAAAAACAGCCATAGTATTACCTGGGGATTTTCTTAGCTTGTGTTTTTGTAAAGCCCAGCTCCGGCAGAGACATGTCACTTTCTACTACACGATCATTAATGTCAGTAACACCACTCGGACCAGTAACTTGCAGGGGATCTTCTAAAGAGCTTGAAGGTAGGTAGAGGAAAAAAAGATGTCACCAATTTAATGTAGAACAGGACTGTGAGAACAACAAGTTAAAATCCTTCCTCCCGTGCTTAAAATGAGAATATTCAGGTTGTTTTACACAAAGCCTTTGGACAGGATTTTCTTTCCCCACATCTCTACTGTGTGCACACAAGCAATACCTGGACCATGTGTGTAGATGTACCACCTTAAAAAGGTGTCAGCCCTCCCCTTAGCTTTGCTGTCATCAAGTACACTTGAGCCAACATATATCCAGAAGTCTGACCCCAACCAGAGCTGAAATGCCTGAGCTCCACTGGGGTGTGTGAACAGGGCTGGCCCAGAGGACACTGAGCTGGCAGCCAGGAGCACCCAGAGGGTTTGTACTGCTGCCCATGCTGAAATAAGGTTATGGGATGCTACAAGTTTAGGGAACCCCCACTCTCAGTGATCTTCCGAGCAAGAATCAGTGTAAGTGAGATGATAGCTTTACCTGAATTCTGACCATTTCTTTCCGCTCTTTTTATCAGTTGCTCCTAGGAAAAATCTCATAGTTTATGACTACAAGCTATAGCTGCTTCAAGTTACTCCTTTGGGTAAAAATCACCGTCTGCTAAAGTTTATTGCCTCACACTCATCCTCCAGCTTAAGTAATCACTCCCTAATTACTTCTGTCACAACAAGGAATTCCAGTAAATTACTTGAACAATAAGATAAACCATTCAGGTTAGGCTATGCTTCAAGCAAAACAATAAAGGTGGGTAATGGAGCAGAATGATCAGGAAGAAAGGAAAACCATCTACTCTTTTCTACTGCACAACTGGATCCAGAAGAGTAACAGCAGCTAACAGTAAAAAATACATATGTCACACTATTTTATTTAATGCATAGGCTCATTCCAGTTTTGAAATCTTCAGTCTGTTGCTTTACACTTTTCATATGGTAACACTTTAAAAACTTCCTGGTGATTGTTGGCGTTGGCAGACTTGCAACTAGCAGTTGCATGTACTTCGTTGAAAGAGAGGTTTGTAAATAGGAGAAATAACAAATACACACAGACAATAGCACCCTCTATGTTAACAGCTCTGTTACTTGCAATTAGAAAAGAACTTTGAATGCTCCTGCGGCTTTTGCATAAAGTAAATGTAACAGGCACTACAAAAATCAGAAAAAATGCCTGAAATTAGTTAACAGAAGGGCTTTCATTGAGTTTTAAAATGAATGCCTTGATTTTTATGAAGTGATGATTTCACCCTGACAGTCTCCTTTTTGACAGATTTTCAAAAAAAACAATCTCAAAATACATACCTATCATGTAAATCTCTGCATATGTGAGAGCCTGAAACAGAAACAATCCTTGTAAGTAAAATCCTTGCAATTGTACACAAACTAATCATACATATGTTAAACAGCCAGTGAGATAAAATACAAAAATATATCAACCTGAATATGTTGACATTAAAAATAAATTCATATTGGACATAGGCTTAATGGCCTGTGAGAGAACATGTCATTGATTGTCAGGTTAGCACAGATTCTCCAGAGAACACTAATTAACAGCTCCCTGGATGATGTGAATAGTTTTGCTAGGATGATGATATCACTGTTGTCAGTCTTCTGCCATGACCAACTAACCGGGAATTATCTGTTCCAATTAATTATACAGCATTTCATAGAAAATTAACAACTGACACTTACTTGAAGAAGCCAGGAACTCAGAAGGAGCTTGGAATTCGGGAGATGCAACTGAAGAGCAGTATGGATGTCCTGGATGGAAGAGCACTGCTTTCCCTCCTAAACTAAACTCTACACCTCAAAAAATTATAGTTGTAACTCAGTATCACCTATAGCTATCTCGGCTTGCAAGTAACAAGTTTATACTTACAGAGAAAACTGCATTACTATTTTCAAAATTAATCTGGGTGTGTATACCACTTGAGATTGACTTGTGCTGTATGCAGATACAGGAACCATGTTTTAACACCTTTTAAGACAGATTGCTGCAAATGTGGCTATCAAATGCATGTTCACATTTACAAAGTATGTAATACTTTTGGAAGCTTGACTGCAAGCAATGCAGGCAATATGCAGAAAAAATAAGACATTACCTTTTTAAACTCAAGCAAGAGATTGATTTTTTCCCTCCTCCTTTCAATGCTACCACAGTCTTCCTAATTGCAAAAATCAATTTGCTCTCAGTTTGCAAAATGAAATGAGACCTCATAAAGCAATGTTTTAGGACACAGACAGTAGTTACTTTATAGTGAAATAAACCAATTATTTTGCTGATGTGGCTGGATTTAACTGAGATCTCAGCTCCCTAGACACAGGAAGATGACAGAGATGATAAAGACAGCTTTTGGAGGAAGCTTTGAGTGTTGTGACACCACACCCTGTTCACTTAATTAAGTAAATACAAATCATCACAGTGATGGGTGTAAGAAGCAGGCCCAAAGGTATTTTCTTCCAATAACAGTGAATTTGAGTGTAAATATGATTCATTGCTGAACTGTTTTCAAAGTTTAGTGATACTGTTCTGTCATGTAACATAAACTCCTTATCAGTGCAGATCAATGAAGCCGTTCTAAACAATGCAATCTAGAAAGACTGATGACTGACTTTAATAAGCTAATTGGCATTATGTAACAGCCTGTATAGCAGCAATGAAAAAGTATTACACCAGGAAGAAAAGGTTTACTAATTTTTAAAAGGTGTAAAAGGGAAAAATATATAATAAAGATTATACCAGAAGATGACTTCATGCCACTGGGAAAGTTAGAAGCCAAGGCTGCAGAGGCAGGGATGTATAATTCCACTGGAGTATAACTGGGTACAGGATATTCCAAGTTTAAGCCCTCCTTTTGATCATCTGTAACATCTTCAAAAATCATGCCTCTCAAATAACGTTCTGATTCTGTGAAAAAAATAATACAGTAACCAATGTAGGCCAACGAAAAATCCTCTCAATGCAAAAACTATCACTGATATATATTTGTTACTGGCATCTTTAATTCATCTGTCAAACCTGTAACAACCTGGACTTGAGTCAGCTGTGCCTCTCTCTGAAAGGGCACTTCCAGAGCTGTGGTGTGTGTACCAGTCCTGCACACATGAACTGAGCCAGGAGTTGCTCTGTGTGAGGTTAATGGACATCTTAAATATTGTTTGAGGTGTGAACACAGATATAGCCATGATTTGGCTCTACCACTTGGCTTTGTGTTAACTCCATAAGTAGATTAGACTATGCTCTTGGCACATTATAGTAGCTACAATTAGGGAGGTACTATATAGTCGTTTGTTACATGAGCAATAAATCATTCAACACATCTGCTCTAGCAAACAGTTAAGCTGATGTAAGCTTTTAATAAAATACAGATATTACAACTGGATAGCCACCAAAGATGCAGGAAAAAAATTTACTTCATATACATAAAAAATAAATCCTGGGGACAAATTTCATATCGTTTGACATCAGTGAGTAAAGCACTTACAAGTAGCATGTTTTTATTTCATGATACAATAGAAATACATATTTTTTAAAGTTCTGTATTGTGGTTTTGGAAAATATCAAGGTTTCTAGATACTTTCAAATGCATTTTTGTTAAAGCAATATGCCTAATAGTCAGATTTGCAACCTTTCATTTTATTTTTCTCTCTGGTATTTTTGGTTTATATTTCAATGACAACTTACGGGATTGCATTAAATTTCAGTGGTAATTAAAAGACAGTCAAGTTTAATATTCAATTGGAAATGTATTATTATCTTTCTGCTAACTGAACACATACCATCATCAATGACTTCAGCAGCTGCAGAGAATGAAGGACGAGCACTAAGGTCTGAATCAGTAGCCATTTCAATGTCTTCTATTAGTTTCACTAACTGTAAATGAAACCCAAAAACTAAGTAATGACACTTTCTTCAAGGTGTTTCTGAGACTTTCACCACAGATATTCATGCAAAATATACTTTAAATCAACTTTTTTCCTCAGAATCTTATAAACATTTTAATGCAGTTTCCTGTTTCAAAACAAACAAACAAAAATAATTCAGGAATCAAAGGAGCTCAAGCAGATTCATTTCATTTAAGAAGTTCAATCTTCTGGATCTGTACTTTGAGAAAAATATATATAAACTCTATTATTTGCGTGAGCAGTTTTACTCCTACTGATGACATTATTTTTATTTTTAAAGTAGATGAAGTTTTCCAATATATCTTATCTAAAAACCACAGAAACTAAAATATTTCAGTAGTCTTCATAAGTCAGAAGTTTTCTGATGTTTAAAACCGGCCATTCTGGCCAGCATTTCATCCACTGTAAGTAATCATGTCTGCCAACAGATTCAGCACTCTATGTGGAAGAACTGTATATTATTCTCAATCTCTCTTGATAGATACTAAGCAGATTTGAGAACACATTGTTCCAAAATGTAAGTTTTGACTTCAGTTGCAAAAAATTACAAAATAGATTGTTTAAAAAATGACAGCTAGCAGTCAGAACTCACCAGTTTGGTATTTCTGAAATCCTGTTCCATATTTTCTATCATGTTCTCTAGTGTCTGTAATTGCATATCCATTTCCTGCTGCTTTGTGGAAAAGTATTCTCTGCCAATTACTTTGGATGGAAGCTCTGAAGAAGGAAGAGTTCTGTCATCTTCATGTAGCATGTTCCAAGTTACACTATCTGCAGCAGAATCTGACTTCTTATCTTTCTTTTGCACTTGGCTTGATGCATTTTTCTGATGGTCACCTTGAAATAAAAAAAAAAAAGAATGCACCAATATCATTAAATAAACTGCAAGCATGTAAATACTGCAAGTAATCAGGCACAGATGTGTTGTACATAACAGTAGATTTTAGGAGCCAAGAATCATCACAAAAGAAGTCAAATGTATAAATGCTGTTGTTTAATGCTAAAAAAGCAGGAGGTTAATTGAGGGCAAAGCTGCAGATTTTCCGTGGAAGTATTATAACAAAAGCATCTTGCTTTTTTCGGGTTTAAAAATGAAATTATTTACCTTGCTTCTGAAGAGCCTCACATAGAGTTGCATTAGTAACAGAAGCTGCTGTGTGGTGAAGTTTAGCCCTAGATGGAATTTCAAACTTCTCATTTTGCTGTGCAGCATCCACCTCTTCTGCAGACTCGGGTATCATGGGCAAATTGCTAAGGATGTCACTGTCTTCAATGTCGATCACACTGATATATTTATGTTCATGCTAAACAACAACAAGATTATGAAGAATTATACCAAATGTGTTTTGAATATATTGTTTACAGTGCATTGTTAACCATAAAACTTTGAGCTGAAAGGATTTGTTCTGAAAACAAAGAACCCAAATTAATTAAGACAAACAGTATTTTAATCACATGTACGTGGGATTACACATGTACGTGGGATTACACATGTACGTGGGATTACACATGTACGTGGGATTACACATGTACGTGGGATTACTAACCAAATCAGGTGCATCTGACCGAAAGGATGGTAAAGGTTTCTTTTTCACTTCAGTGGGAAATCTCAGGTTTAAATACATGTCAGGTGGTAGCACTGCAGGGGCACTAGATGATTCTATGAGAAAATAATAATAGTCAGTATTATATTTACAGCAAAAGCCACAAAACTTCAGACTAAATATTTGGAAACAACTCTGCATTCTCTAGATGACAAGAAAAGCTTTGACTAAGCTGCAGTCTAAATTGCTACTAATTTCCAAGTCTATCCCAGCTAAGTAAAATAAAAAAACATTAATCTTTACTTGATTCAAAGAAATTATACTATCCAGCCAGAAAGACCTCTAATAAAGCTATTTGCAAATAAGTTATGTGATGTAGTAAAATTATCTTGAAATGGAAAACATTGTTGAATTTTAAAACAATGGAAAAAATAATATGCCCATTTGGTACCATAGGAAAAATACTTAGGTACTGAAATCTACATACTTCAATTTATTAAGGATTTTTAATACGGGGGGAGAAAACCCAAACCAAAATATATTTTCTTTAGCCCAAATTCAGTTACCTTCTTTTTTCTGTTCTACATATTGATCCAAAAGATGACTGATAGAGAATAAAATTCCTACTTGGGACTGGAACATTATAACCTGCATCTAGCAGACGCAAGGAAACAACTGTATAAGTAGCTGAGCTACTGCAGCTCAATTTCATGTGGAGCTGTAATCTGTTTTAACATCCCACTGGTCAACTCTTTTGGTCTACATTACACCAAAACCCCAAGAGTAAGCGGCACTAAAATCAAGATAAAATCCACAAAATAATCTCATACAGGAATGCAAAGGCATAGGTACACTGCTCCATGAAAAATTCCAGCCAAACTTTTCATAAACAGTATTATAACTATTTAGTATTGGGTTTCAAGAAATCAGATGAATTACCATGTTATCTACACCCTGCATTAAGCTACCCCATGTACAAAATGCATGTTAAAATTGCTGTATTGTTATAGACTTCCCAAACAACAAAGTAAAGACAGCCTGGAGCCACACCTGGCACAGGAACAGATGGGGCTGGCTCATTTTTTTGAACTTCGGAAATCTCATTTCCACCACTGATTCCATGATCCTGATATGACTCGAGCACTTGATTGGGAAAAAAAAAACAACCAAGATCAAAATGCATGAATGTAAGGAAAGTAACAATACTGATGGCATTGTCTGAACGTACATTTCTGATTTGACAGCTCACAATCAAAGAAAAGTTGCGGTGGATGAGGCAGGGAAACAATTTCAGTCACAGGGTGAAACACTGTCTAAAATGCATTTAGATAAACCCGAGTGAAGTTACAAGAAGATTTCAGAAACAGTCACATCAGAACTGCTTTACCAAAAGCATGTGGACACTCTTACATAATTGGATCAGTGATATTTTTACTTACAATTATTTTAACTACTGCTTTGCAATTTATATTCCAATGGCTTCTGGTTTAATTCTTTTTGAAACAAAAAATTGGAGCACAAAAAACTGTTTTTCCCTTTACAATCTTATTGCATTTTGAAAACTGACAAAATAACTAGAAAGAAGCAACACCAGAGGTAGTTGGTTTCTGGAGGTCACACGGGTAGCACTTACTTGGATGAGTATTTGTACTTGCATCTTGAGTTTCTGCTGGTTTTTTCCCTACAGAAGCCATGTAATGTAGATCTGCTGAAGTAGTAATTGCTTCCTCCATTGTGTCTGAAATATGATAATGCAAAAAGGGGTGTCTACCAATAACAAAAGAATTAGACATCCTTGAAAGCAGTGATACTAACTTGAAACTATGGGTTCCAACAGTTTTTTCTTTGTATTCCTGACAGATATTTTTAACTTTTCTCTAAGCATATCTCATGAATGATTCCCAGAAAAGTTCATGCTACCTATTTGATGTGAATATGCAACTGTATTGAGACTTACAATGTTACACTGAATTAAAATCAAGGTTCAGTTTAGGTATACGATTTTTAAATTCAATATTTTAGTACGCTGTACCATAAAAGTCTGCTTCACAGTCCAAAAGGGGGGGAAATATTTATGATGTGTATACCTTAATTTCTTTATTGATGTTTCTACAGAGATTTGCAAGCCACTATTTAGAGAATAGATTGCATTTTGTCCTCTGATAAGACTGAATATTGTGCTGAATACTAGAAAGAAGCAAATCTTTCCACAAGCATGGTCTTAATGTTGTAAGCTATAAGCATTGTAAACATTAAATCTCTTTTAAAAGAGCCTTAAATTTTGTGTAGTTAGACTATGCAGGCAAATAAAATTGGAATAATATCTTTTTTGTAAAAAGAAAACAATTTAATACTAAAAAGCATTGTTCACAGCATTACTTTGATAAATCACATGAACAGAAATTACCAAGAACCATAGTTGCTGAAAGTAACAGTTACCATAACCATAGTTATAATGAAACCATAGTTACTGAAATTCATTCAACATACTTATTATTTCACTAATTCAATTGTTTTTAACCATAAACACAAGACTACCACTCATTATAAAAAAAATTAAAATACTTCTGTAATTTTCAGAACTATTCTGAGTCTTCAGATAATTGATGTAAGACCTTAAATTTGCCTGCGTGTCTCTCCACACCAATCCCCTAAAAACTCACTATGCCTAAAAAAGTTTGGAAACCTGTTGTCCATCCTGAAAGATCTGGGGAAAGATACCATAAGCCATTAGGCTGTATTGCCCACAGACTACATGATCCAAGTTTTTAACATCTTGATGACCACAGAGTTGTCATTTGAAATCTAACAAACTTATGGTCCTTGGTTTTTTTGTTATTTAAGCACTCAAAGCACTAAAAAAACTTGTACTTACCCATTGAAATGAACAAACCATCTTGAGGGTAAGATACCGATTCTGTCTTGTGATCCTAATATAAGGAAAAAAAGAATCATCTTTAAAAATAGTTCCTAAGCAGATTACAGGCTTTCTTGATGCTGTTCAACTATCCAATATACCTTGTGTGAGTAATGACTAGGGGAAAAAAAACCCATTGTAATTTCGTTTTCTTACTCCTTTTTTAAATTCTTCTGATCTATTCCAGCTCAGTGGAATTACTGGCTATGTGACAACCTCATATGTACCTCAGGGTGATCTGCAGTAACACAAATTCTCTATTCCTCTTTGAGTATGTGCTATCTCTGCATATACGTAATATCTCCCTGGTCTGGAGAGGGTCTCCAGCTGCTGTGCTGGAGTGAAGTCTCAAAGAAGGTGTGGTAGGGACCAGAAACAGAGCCTGCTGCTCTGGGTAGTGTTCTAGCTTTAAATCTGGTGGTGTTCTAGCATGAAATCTGGTACTTGCAAGGATAATCCCCAAAACGTATCAAAAAGGCCTTGGCAAATGAAAAATACAAGTACATAAATCAAAACCCACCCTGATAAAGACTTTCTTTTCTCAGTTTCTGGTTTGTGACAGAACTGAGATCTCATACTTTCCATTCCTACTTTTAGACTGTCATCCATATAGCCCCACATGAAAAGAGTAACGCCTGGGTCACTTGTCATTTGTCAAATGACAAATGCCTGTGTTGTTTGTCCTAGGCTAAATGTAATTTTTTTTAACATTTCTGTATGTTTTTACTATAAATGTTTATATAGACTTAAATCCTATCAAAACAGACAAGTTCATGTTCCAGGAAAAGCAATAGCAATCTTAGAATACTTCATAAAAATAAATCTACTGTTACAGAAATTGCAAGTATACGAACTAAATATATATATACTGTTTCTAGGCTAGAGCCTAAAAGTGATGTACATTATTGTTTCGGTTTATAGTTTTCCACTTCTTTCTTTTCTGTTAATCCTTGAATGGAAAAAAGCAAAGAAAGAAACATTATTCTGTACCTCAGTCTCTGATTCATCAACCATTTCTGTGTCACCAATAGCGATGATGGAGGCCTCTGGGCAGAAGGACACAGTTGGTTTCTTCTCCTCCTCCTTCTCTTGTAGTTGTTTCTTATTACGCTTTTTTTTTCTGTCAACATATTAATTACAGATATAGAATAAGATGTGCACTGAATTAAAGATGGAAAAGATAAACAGGACTGTTGCATACAGATCAGTTCAAAGCACTATTTTTGCCTATCTGAAATCTACACAAAATTGCTGTAGGAACTCATAAAAATACTAACAATCACACTAAAATCTGTTAATTGTCTAATAAGCTATTTTTACTAAATATTACAAACTACATAACAATCCACATCTATGTTTTGTGTATAATTAATAATTACTCCACAAAATACCTGTAAAGAATCTGTGAGACAAACTTTAGTTATCACAGAAACTTTCTAATTATTTTACTCAAAAAGTTGCAATTCTTCTGTAATATGTCATAAGTAGATTATAAGACAACAACTAATCAGAAGAAAGCAAGTGTTCTATTCTAGAACATTCTATCAACATTCTATGAGAACTGAACAAGGATATGTAAGTAGCTTAAACCAACTGTCTTAACTGCTTGTGCAATCAATTAACAACAAATAAATCAAATTTCATAAATAATAAGATACCTAACAAAGAAAATACTGCTTCAGCAGGAATTTTTCTAATTAATCACTGTCTGTATTAAAAACCAGCCTAAATATTGAACTATACTGAAAGAGTGTAACCCTTTTTTTCCTGAAGATTACTACTGACAGTTACAATATGCAGCACAGACAGCAGCCTATTAAGATTCATTGTGTGTAAACCGCAAAGCATTTCATAAACAGTATATAGCAAACAGTCAGGTAACAACAAGACTTTAAAACACAAATAGCAATATGGAAAACATTCCCCCTTGACTCTTCTTCTTATCAGTCTGCTAACAGCAAAAACCCCTTCATGACTTAATGATATACTTCTGCTGTGTTTTTACTAACATTTACTATTTTATTCTCTGCCAAGAGAATTATATTCAATCCCTCTGATCTCAAAGCTAGAAGGTACAGGTTATCAGTTAGTCTTTCAAAATGAAGTTCCCACTTTAAAAGTCTGGCTTGCCTTTTTCTATTTTTCTGTACATCTCTCAGTTCAAATGGTTCAACATTAGTTTTTAGTAACTGGATAGGTTCAGTTTGGTCTTGTCCATAGGAAGTGCTGAGCACAGAATTATGTTGGTGGCGTTGCTCAAATGCAATGAGATCTTGAAATGGGATGAGTTTTGCTGCCTGAAAGGGTTCAGAGAGAGAGAGAGAGAAAAGAGAAGAAACAGAAAGGGGAACCCATCAGATTGGATGATAAAAGTAGGTCCAGTTTGGATCTCAGTTATACAAACAAAACTCCTGTAGCAATTTGTAAAGAAAATGGAAATGTAATATTAACAGCATCAGGCCAGGACCTCTGCCAGTATGTACATGTGTAAACTATTTTCTGAAAGTAAACTAAAAGATGGGAATTTTCTCCACAGAACATATTTCACTAATATTTGCATTTCCTATGCATGTAGTTCAGGATGAAAGTAGCAATTGTGCAATGTAGACAAGGACTGAAGAAGTACCTTTCAAGAAAAAACATTTCCACTCTTTTCAACTGGAATGTGCAAGCTTATAAGAGTGTAACAGAAACAACATTTTTCAAAACATCAAGTTCTCAGCATCCATAAGATAAGGTTTTCTTACTCAGCCTTTTAGCATCCTATTTCTGTACTACAAAAGAGGATTTGTCACTGCATTCTCTTTCTGTAAATAATTCTATTACCATTTCTGAAAAAAACCAGTACTGCTTCTTACCATATAAATATTATCGAATATTTTAGATAGTAAATTCTTTGCATTCAATACTAATGGGCTGAATGGTGACAAACTGTGGAATGTAGAGTCAATCTAATGCCATTAAAAACACTTTCAGACTTGCAGCCTGTCTCATATTGACATGCAAATAAACTGGTACCCCTAGTTCGAGATCGCTCCTGGGAGCTGTGCTGAGCACTTGAAACTCCATAGACTGGAAACATGAAGTTATTTGTGATAAATAAGAAACCACAAAATAACAAAAACACTACAACTTAGAAAAAAGTATTATTAAAATCCAGTACCTTCCTTTTTTGAGGTAAATTAACCTGAAGTAGTGATATTCCTGCATCCTGTAGTGTTTCTCTGGAGTCAGTATCCTTTGTTGCAGGTTTAACAGGTATTAAAGTAGCTGTGATTGGCTGCTTTACAGCTGGTGGAACTCTGGGTACTGGGTCAAGATGCAAGTGCAACAGTGGAATACCAGCCGGGTTCTGAGTGATTGGCACCCTGTACGTATGCACGTCTGCAGGGAACTGCAGCTGAGGTGAAACTTCTTGCTGCCCTACATACTGATCAAGGTTCAGGTATTTGGCAGGCTCCCTATGCACTCTTTCTGCCCATCTCCTCTCGTCCTCGTGCATTTGCCTTGGGATCTCAGGGTCACATCTACTCCTGCTGGAATCTTCTTTTGCCTTACTCTTTCTTGGCGTGTATGATGACTGATGGTTCCATAAGGAATCTGATGAACTCCAAGCTACTCGTGGTACTGGGGGTGGTCTGGCAGAAGCTGATGACATTTCTACTGGATGTAAAAATGCTGGTTTGAAATAACTTGATTTGAGCCTAAGCAAAGGAAATCCACTTGAATAACTTGTTTTCTTTTCAATAGGGATAAACCTCACTGTTTTCTGGATGTTTGAGGAAGGAACTAGGAGATGAAGTGGTTTAGTAGGCCCTGAAGAATGCTGATATTGGGATGGTGACATAAATCCTGTTTCCTTGCTGTTGCTTTCAAGTAGAGTTAAAGAGGCATTCACATCCAGACGACTCTAAATCAGAAAAGCAAACAATCTAGCATTTACACAGGAACCACACACTAAATATGCACAAAAATAGTTTTGTCTACACCAATTACTACAAACACATTTCCTAATTCAACAGAATAGATAACATATCAGATATACTGAACTATCTTCATAAACAACACATTGATATACATACTTCTACATGGCCACTGTTGCCTTCATCTTCTACACTATTCCTTCGATGAAAATCAGAGCTCTTTTGACCAGGTTTTCCTTTATTTTCTGGAGAGGGCAGCTGTGTTTTTGGAGAACCATTGCCTTGGGCAGTGTGTGCATGCTGGCTCCCAGCCAGGTGAACAGATTGATGATGTTGCAACATTTGTTGCACATTTGGCACGTTGCCAAAGGATGACTGCACTATTTGCATTAAACTCATGAAGTTGATCTGCTGTAGCTGAAAACACACGAAGTTAACCCTGTTAACAACTTTAACAGGAATCTTAGCAAAAATTACATGTCTAGACTATGTTATTGCTGTTCATTATCCTGTAAAAACAGGTGACAAAATAAACAACATCACAAAGTTTCAATTTGTATAATTGAAAATTTCATTCACATAATTGCTTATTGTACTGGACTTTAAGATACAATAAATACCTGCCACAGTCAGGTTATGCTAAAGCAAGACAAATTCCTTCACTTTTTTTGCGAAGCTTCAGTAAATGTAAGGTCGCTTAAAATTGGCTCAGTGTACTAATACACCTTAAATGCCAGTATAGCTGCGAAGTTGTTACAGCAACAGAATTTTTCCTTATGTATACCATTAGAGCACACTGATTTATGTAAACTAAAATACACTCAAACTTCTATTATCACATCACCCGTTTTCTTGAGTCAAAACCAAGAGTTAAGTCTAAAATAACTTTTCACAGTGCTTAACATGGAACTGAAAATCTCTTCCAAAAACAACTACACACACAGAATGCATTTAAAACAGTAATTACGTCTGTTGTTTTAAATAACGCAGCTTGAACTGTGAAAACTATTTTAAAAAATGAGATGCTCTCACCTGAATTAACTTAAACATTTCGTCTTGGAGCATCTGCCTGACAGTTTCTGATGTGTTTGATTTCTCCTCTGGAGGGACTTCTTCCTTGACTTCTTGCTTCTTTGCACAAACAGAAGTGTGGGAGGCAACACTTGACGTAGTTGACACAACAGTCTGAGAAGGCTGGCAATCGCTTACAGAAATGCCTGCATTACTTCAAAAGGAAAAGAACAAAACTATGAAAAACATTCATAGTTCAAAACACCTATATAAGGTTGTCTTAAATAAATCCAGAAAAAATTTAAAGGTATCTATTTTCTAAAAACGTAATTAATTTGTAGGAACAATTTATTAATTAACACTGCACAACCTTCACCAGAGACTATGTATGACAACTTTCCCAATGCTTCTCTAAGTTCTATATGATTTTGTACCCACAAGCATATTTGAAATATTATCTTCATTAGAGAAACAAGACGAAAAAAATTATTTCACAGAAAGGACAAAAAAAAGGCCTGGTTAGTCATAAAGCCAAACAGCTGATAGAAAATGAGGAAGGACTTAAAAAGCAACAATAAGATTTCAGATTAAAAAAACAGATTTAAAATTAAAATAACACATGCCAGATAATATAATACATTAAATTTTCTCACTGAGATAATAAAATCTTTTAGTAGGTAAAGAATATCAAGTAGATTGATTCCTCACATGAAGAAAAAAGGGCTGGGATTTCCATTAAGCTATAAAGAAACTGAAAGACTTTACCAACATCAACATTGACCCAAAACACCTTTCTCTGTTTAAGAAAAATGCTGATAATGCTATGGGTACAGGCAACCTTTGGAGGACTTTTCACAGTTGTACAGAATGGCCTCCATGCATGTGAAGAAACAGAAGCATAAAGCAATGGCTAATGAGTAATACTGAAAAGGTTTTGGATATGTAATAAATGTGAAGGGGCATAGAAAATCTTTTGGAAGACAATTGGAATGTGCCCAAAGCATGACCTGAAACCCGAAAAGTTTGAGTAAAATTTTTTTAAAAAGAAGTTGGCATGAAAAGCTCAAGAAGGAAAAGAGATCAGAGACACATGGAAATGGAATCCAAAGGGATGTGCAGTTCTTATCTCTCTCTAACCTGAAAAAATCTCATAGAGGACTGTTCTAGAACTAAAGGCCTGAGACTGACTCCTGACCCCTTTTCTCAATTCCAACATTCTCCCTGTTTACAGAAATATTATCTATATATTTATGTGAATCTATCAGATGCTGTAGGACATATACCTTTTAATAATTTAATTAAAATGTAAATATAAGTTTAAAATATTATTACAAGTGATTTATGTAACAATATATCTTCTATAGCAATATTGTATAATGCTTCTGTCTGGAACCAGAAAATAAAACTACTATGTTTCTTGAAATCTAGTAGCTCAAATAACATGTTTGATTCTTGTGAAGTCTGGTCAAGATGCAACTATTTTGATCCTCAGGGATTAGAGTACAAAAAGGTTTCAGGAAAAGCTACTTAGTTTGTAGGTACATTTTACTTGCAAATATTTTGTAAGCAAATGTACACATCACGTTACTTCAGACTAAAAATTTAAGGGATAATCTATTTTTTATAACAGTATGGGTTTCTCTTACCTAGGAACTTCTGCATCTTGTTTTAAAAAGGATGAATGAGAATCAGTGCTAGTAACAACCTCAGTCATACTATAAAGAAAGAAAATAATAGTATTATAAATACTACAATAATTTGTTATGCTGTTTATTTTCACTTTATATGCCTATGTGTATATAAATGTATGCATAACCTCTCAAAAACGTATTTTAATTAATATGAGATGAAATACCTGAAAGCCACCTGATCAGAGCTATACTGATCTCCATGGCTTCAATTACTGCATTACACTGCAACCTGAGCTGGCAAATATTGACAGTCATGCTTTGTCTCCCTAGCAATCAGAAACTGACTCAAACAAAAGCACTGAAAAAGTTCTGGCTATTCAATGCAAGCAGCAGGCAAAAAAGAGGTTGATTCCAGTGGACAAAGGAAGACAAAATCTAATTTAAGCAATTCTGTAAATATCACCATAATCTGCACTTTTAAAAATAGAAAAAACAATGCCATAATAAATTCTTTTAACAGCCTCTTATGTGCGGATAAAACAAAAATATGTAATTTTAAAATAGCAGAGGATTCTAAGTCCTTCTGAAACTAAACTGCTTAAAAGAAAGCTAATTGAAATATACTAAAAATAGGCTGATTTTTTTTGTCATTTAAACAAATGAAAATATCTCAAAAGAGCAAGATTCTTTGTGGTAAACATAAGGAATGTTGTGTTTACAGAATATAGAGTTTCTTCCCTTGCAAACTTCCAGAGAAATCAAACTGAGCAGCCATCTATTCAAACAGATGATGTGACAACCAGGTTTATGAACTGTTTCTTTAACTTTATACATATATTTTGTTATAAACGTACACAGATTTTAAAACATTCAATTTTAAAAAGATCTTAGTGAAGTAAATTTTTTAAGTTGCGTAAAATGCCTCCCTTCCTCTTTCAGGAGCTAACAAGCTTATCACCACTTCTGTCTTACCTTTGGCTTCATAAACAACTTCTTCCATGTTTTGCAACAAATTAATTGTCATAATTTCCTAGACAGTTCTTCACCTGAATTTCGCCTGATGCTGCTCCTATTTCAGGTCTGGAATCGTGTATCTGAAAGCTTTTCATTTATTGTCTGTCTTTTTCTCAGATGTAAAATACACCTTCCCACAGCCCACACTTCGTTCATTATATCAATACTAAAACAAAGACTCATCCACCTTGCACTTTGTATATGTGAAATGCCTGTTTGAAACTAGGAGTTTGTTGCTATAAACAACAGCCCAAACCCAGGAGACTTCAATGGATGCCATTATTAACAAAAATACCTTGAATTTTTAAGCAAAGCTAAAAGGGGAATAAAAAAACCCCAAAACAAATAACAAAAAGTATCTCACACATTCTGTTCAGCCTTTTCTTCCTTTGTTTCCTCCACATTTTGATCTTCTTGGGGACTATCTGCATCTGAAATGGAGACCTGCTGGAACATAAAAAGATGCATCCAAACTTTAAATTTTTCTATTCCTTCTGCTTTAATAAAGTATTTTTTTTTTAGCCTATGGCAAATGTACTTATGATTAATCATCCACTTGAAAAAATCAGACAAAAAGTAACCAAAATTACATGCTTATCAGAGAACAGCTACAGATTAGAAATAAGGAGATATCTTAATGATTCACATGGGCATCTTGCTTTTTAAGTCATTATTATGAGTTTTTAGTTTCAAATTCATATCCATATAGTACTCTGGATATATGTTCTGCTAATCTCATCCCCTCTTGAGTAAAGATGAAAATGTGGAAACAATCCTATTATACACAAACTATCTGCAAACTAAGAAGTTGAAACAAATACAGGATTTTACACATGCCACAGATTCACTACAGTAGAATGCACTGCAGAATTGAAGACCACAATACATTTATTGTTTCCAATCCCATGAACAGCACTGAATCTGGAATACTACAGGCAAATAAACTGGTGGCATTGCAATTCACATTTCAGCATAATAGGCCTTAGTCAATTTCGGAGACAGGATACTTATGACCAAAAACAATGCATGGAAAAAGAAGGCTCACTAACAGATCCAGATTAAGTTTCCACACAGAAGCAAAATAAACTTCTTGATCTATTTAATTTTTTAATGTAATTTTATGTATATATAATTATATCTACCATATGTACGTATATAGGTATACACACATTTAATTTTATGAAAAATTAATCAGTTTTCAAAAGTGCTCAGACCATATCTCACCTTACTACCCTATAATCATGACGTTTATTATTAAGCAAGGAAAATCTTCAACACCTGAAGCCCTCAACTTCACAAATACAATGACGAATTCAGGATATTTTGAAAAGAGTATTCCTAACAATTTGATGCTTCCACAAAAGATCCTATCAGATCAGGAGAGAGGTTGGAGCTGAGTAAGGCAGCCCAATGCGCTCATTGAGAGCAGCAGTGAGTGCTTCTTAAGAGCAGAGTCAATCCCTTTCCCAGTCAAAGGGAAAGAGTTTGAAAGGGCCAGTTGAATCTGGTGAATCAAGCAGTCAACCTTGACTGGTGCCACAGCCAAGGATTTACCTTCTTCAACCATGGGACTCACATTGAGAAACCTGCTCTGCTGGGGGCTGAAGGGGTCCATTCCATCAAAGAAAGGGAAGAGCATCTTCAGTCCTAGGCTTGGCAAGAGGGGAAGAGGGCTTTAAACTAAAGTTGCCAGGGGAGGGGCTGTTTTATGCCAGGGCCAGTAAGAGATTCCCACAGCCTGGAGAGGAATTGCAGGTCAACAGAGCACCTGAAGAGCAACACAAAGGAACTACAGCTACTCCCACCAGTAAGTCAGATTCATCAGGGGCCCAGTTTAAATGCCCCTATGCAGACACATACAGCATGGGGAATAAATGAATTAGAGATGTGCCCATCTGCAGGACACGATCTTACTGGCATTGTGGAGACATGGGAGGTTGGCTCCAATGACTGGAATGTTGGAATGAACAGAGACAGGATCTTTAGAAAGCACAGGCAGAGGAGATGAGGAGGGGCATCACCTTCTATGTCAGTGACCAGCTGGAGTGCATGGAGCTCTGTCTGGGGATGGATGAGGCTTTGATCAAGAGTTCATGGCTCAGGATTACAGGGAGGACAGGGACAGGTGACATTACAGTGGGGGTCTGCCACAGGCTGCCTGACCAGGAAGATGGAGCAGATGAGGTCCACTGCATGCAGATAGGAGCAGCCTCATGTCACAAACCCTGGTCTTCAAGGACTTTCAACCACCCCACTATCTGTTGGAGGAACAACACACAAGGTTTTGAAATGCCTTGATGATAATCTCCTTCTCCATGTGACAGATTAGCCAACAAGGACAGGTACTATGGGGGACCTTGTTCTCAGAAACAAGGTGGGGAATGTGAAACTAAAGGGCAGCATTGGCTGCAGTGACCATTAAATAGTGGAGTTTCACATGCTCAAGGCAGTGAGGAGGGGGCACATCAAGCTCACTGCCCTGGACTTCAGGAGAGCAGACTTTGGCCTCTTCAGAGATCTGCTTAATAGAGGCATAGTGCTGTGGAGGGAAGAGGGGCTCAAGAAAGCTGGTTAATATTCAAGAATCACCTCCTGCAACCTCAGGAGTGATGCCTTCCAACAAAGAGGAAGCTGGGAGAAAACCCCAGGAGGTCTGCACAGACGAACAAAGTACTCCTGGACAAAGTCAAACTCAAAAAAGAAACCTACAGAGGGTGGAAGCCAGGACACAGTAAGGACATCTGAGAGACTGTCAAAGCAGCCAGGGATCAGTTTAGGAAAGCTAAAGCTCTGACAGAATTAAATCGGCCAGGATCATCAAGGGAAACAGGAGGAAGACTAGAGAAAATGTGGGCCCTCTCCATAAGGAAATAAGAGGTCTGGTTACCTGGGACATGGAGAAGGCTGAGGTACTCAATGACTTTTTTGCCTCAGTTTTTACAGGCGAGTGTTCCAGCCCCACTGCCTGAGTCACAGAAGGCAAAGGCAGGGATGGGAGAATTAAGAACCTCCTGTTGTAGAAGACCAGGAACATTTAAGGAACCCAAAGGTGCACAAGTCCATGGGGCCTGATGAAATTGGTCCACAGGTCCTGAGGGAACTGGTGGACAAAGTGTCTAAGCCACTAACTGACTGGAAAAGAGGAAACATAACCCCCATGTTTTTAAAGAGGAAAATAAGGAAGACCTGGCGAACTCCAGGCCAGTCAGTCTCACCTCAGTGCCTGTCAAGATCATGGAGCAGATCCCCCTGAAAAATGTGCTAAGGCACATGGAAAGTAAGGAGGTATTGGTAACAGTCAAAATGGCTTCACTAAGAGCAAACTGTGCCTGACAAACTTGGTGACCTTCTATGATGGAGTTACAGTGTTGGTGGACGAGAAAAGAGCAACAGATGTCATCTACCTGGATTTCTGCGAAGCATTTGACACTGTCCTGCACAACATCCCTGCCTTTAAACTGAAGAGTTGTGGATTTGGCCCAAATCTTCGTTCGTGAAGCCTCGCCATGATGTGGATTTGGGGGATGGGCTACTTGGTGGATAAGGAATTGGCTGGATGGCCACACTCAGAGTTGTGGTCAATGGCTCGATGTCCAAGCGGAGACCAGTGACAAGTGGTTCCTCAGGGGTCAGTACTGGGGCCAGCACTGTTTAACATCTTTGTTGGTGACATGGACAGTGGGATCAAGGGCACCCTCTGTAGGTTTGCTGGTGACACCAAGTTGTGTGCTGTGGTTAACACACTGGAGGGAAGGGATGCCATCCAGAAGGATCGTGACAGGCTTGAGAGATGGACCTGTGAAAACCTCATGAAGTTCAAGAAGTCCTGCACACGGGTTGGGACAATCCCAAGCACAAGTACAGGCTGGGCAGAGAATGGATTGAGAGCAGCCCTGAAGAGAAGGACTTGGGGGTAACGGTTGATGAAAAGCCCAACATAAGCTTGCAATATGTGCCTGCAGCCTAGAAAATTAATTGTATCCTGGGCTGCATCCAAAGGAGCATGGCCAGCAGGTCGAGGGAGAGGATTCTCCTGTCTACTCTGTCCTCATGAGACTCACCTGAAGCACTGTGTTCAGCTCTGTGGCCCCCAACATAAGAAGGACATGGACCTTCTTGAAGCAGGTCCAGAGGAGACCTCAAAGATGCTCAGTGGGCTGGAGCACCTCTTCTATAAGGAAAGGCTGAGAGAGTTTGGGTTGTTCAGTCTGGAGAAGATAAGGTTCTGGGGAGACCTTAGATCAGTCTTTCAGTACTTAAAGGAGCCTACAGGAAAGCTGGAGACAAACCCTTAACAAGGGCATATAGTGACAGGAGAGGAGGGAATTACTTCAAACTGAAAGAGGATGAGTTAGTTCAGATATTAGGAAGAAATTCTTTACTGTGAGGGAGGTGTTATAGGTTACCCAGAGAAGTTGTGGATCCATGAAAAGTGTTCAAGGCCAGACTGGATGGGACCCTGAACAATCTGGTCTAGTGAAAGGTGTCCCTGCCCATGGCAGGGCGGTTGGAACGAGATGATCTTTAAGATTCCTTCCAATTCAAACCTTTCTATGACGATTCTACAGTAACTTGCCTTTTCTCTAGGATGTTCTACAGGTTTGATCTTGACAGAGCTGTTGGAGTTCTTTGGAGTTTCATACGGCTCCTCAAAGAACTCTACAAAATAAAAACAATTACTCTAAATCAGAAAACTACATGGATTACAGCACTGTTATGTGATTTCTGAGAGCAGGTCACATTAGTCCACTTTTTCCCTAGAGAGGAATAAAGTGTTCAGAGAGGTCTCAGCAAATTCAAGATTTGTTTTATTACTAGTGATGACGCATGCACCTGAAGAGAGAGGGAAAAAAAAAGCAAGTTATTAAAATGGTATGAGTATGATAAACTTAAGTTATGGATAGTCAGCTCTTACAATTTTCATGTTGTTTTGCACAGTTGCATGAATATTTCTGGAATGATAGTATATGAGGGAACAGAACATGCTAATACACACTTCTACATCTATAGTAAAAAGTTACATGAGTGAAAAACTGATCAATAAGTCTCGATAAAGCAATTGTATAAAATTAATTATAATGTAAACTGCATAAAATATTTTCAATAGAACAATGAAAACTTATTTTCATTTTTTGATTAAATAGAGAGACTTATAATCATATTCATGCAAAACTCCTACTGTTAATACATGAGACCATAGTAAAAGGATATACCATTAAAACAAACCTTGTCGTTCTGACGCCACATCTAACTCCTGCCAAACAAATGGTTCTACTTCATTAGGATCTTCAGTCGGACATGGTACAGAACAATTTCCATGAATAATTTCCTTCTTATCAAAGTATTTTGACTTTGTAGACACTCTGGTAATTGGAATTACAAAAGGCAATTAACAACATAGGTATCTAGCTTAGTTCAAGTATGCTGTTTCTTTCAGATTGCAGGCTAGTGCATAATTGTAAAAATAAACACTGTTGCAATATAATCCATGTTTATATAAGTTTTCTATCTGACTTTCATTTAAACTGAGCTTAATATGTTTTTATAGATGTGATATTTTAGCATCATTAATGGTACAGTCTTTCAGGTGGGCTGTTTCCACAAAAATGTAACCAACATACATGATCTACCAAAAATGGAAGACAAGCGCTATGGTTTCAAAATCATCTGGTTAAGATTTACATTTATCTCCCTCATAAAAAACCAAATTGTCAGACAAGACACACAAAAATGTCTCAAAATACTAGAGATTATTTTTAGAATACTAAAGATCTTTATCTATCTATCTATCTATCTATCTCTTCTAATACTGGACATCTATTTTTTTTCTTTAGTGCAACAGAAGATCAAATGCCACAAAAAAGTTCAGGTTAAAGATACTTTATCTTCAGGACAGTGCAAGATATTAACAAATAGAACATTTACTGCCTTTTCAATCTATTTTTCTGACATGCACAGATATGAACATAGCTAGATTACAGATTCAGGGGAAAATAAGTGAACAGTGTGAATCTTGCAACTCAAGGAAAATTACGCTAAAGAGAGTGGAAGTTACCTGAATTCTTTGAGAAAACCATGATATCCATTTAATCAGAAATCTAGATTCTATTTCCACATCACTAAGTTTATAAACAACCATGTACAAGTCACTTAATATGCAACAGCTACATTGTTTTCTACCTAGATATACATCTGCTGATGGAGAATATCTAATCTGCTTCATGCAGCTGTAAACAATAGGCACGAGTTTGACTTTGCACTCAAAATTAAACATGTATATATAATACATAATAACAGCAGAACTCTTCAGAGTGACAGGCTGCTTAGCAGAGAAATTATGACCAACTAGAGTTTTTAAGTTAAAAAAAAAAATTACCTAAAATCAGTTCCACAAAAGTCATCATAGGCTGGCACATTCTGGACACTGGCAGGAGGATTGGCCACTATGGAAAAGCTTTCATCCATACTACTTTCTTTCTCTGTCCTAGACTGGGCTTCTGATAGAGATACAAATTCTTTCACATCTTGATTATCTGGATGCTATTAAGAGAAATAATGATAATCAAAATTCACTAGTTAAAAAAAAAAAGAAAGATACCTGATACTATTTAAAAACCCACAGTGATTTCACATGGAACGATTATGCTTAACTCAGATTTTTTCTTTTAGAGCTGAGAAAACCTGGATTTATAGGTACCTGTGGAACCTTGGTTTTGCACCTTTGTGCATTAAGTGAAGCAACGATCCTCTGAATTATCCAAAGGAAACATAGGAAATATTTATCAGTGTCAATTGAGTGTCAATTGTCAAAGCCACTATGTGACACTGGAATCGAAACAAATATATACAATAAGGTTTGGCTTTCATCACATGTAATACAGATCTCTGAAATTATCACTGAAAACAGTATGAAAGGCAAAAAGCCACACGTAATCTCGCGGTTAGATACATGCACAAAATTTTGGCAGTAAGTTGTAAATAAAATACACGTGGCACTTGTCCAAAAAACAAAACTACAAACCAAAACCAAGAAAAAAAAAATCTCTCTGAGTATGGAAGAAAAACCTTCTCCCACAACCCTCTCCCCTCAAAGTCTTTGATGTATTCTATGTAGAGTTAATTAAAAAAGCTAAGTGATCCAGTTGTACCTAAAATACAAACTAAAGCAATACTCATCAGGTTCTTCTGGCAGATCTCTTCTTTCATATCCACATATACACTCCAACTCTGTATAACAGTGCTAGTCACTTTTTGCTGATCTTTAACTAGTTTAAATACTCCAGTTAAAATATATCTGCACTGTCATCAAAGACAAATGAACCTCAACTCAAGTCTTCCCAGAGAAATTTTACTCTTTGTCCTGCTTTGCCATATTCTATCTCCAGTACTAGGTTTCTTCAAAGATAATGTCTAAAACAAGACACAATGGTGAAATTTATAGGAATTTGCACAAATAATGTGCTATCTGGATAGAGGAGCTAGATTTTGAACAGGGTTTCCAAAGAGAACTTTCACCTCCATCCTAAGTATTTCTACAGACAGAACTCCAGTATTTCTGGAATGTTTCTCTCTTTTCCTAGCAACCCTTAAAGGAAAGGTTATTAATTACTATTCCAGGTTTTACTGAAAATAGAAAAATGAGGTAAAACGTGTGATTTTCTTTACTGGCATAATTCACTCACATTTCATTGACACTAATCCCATCCTTTTCTTACCTTATATTTTATGCTCTTTGTTTGAGATCTCTCTCTGTATAACTGTTCTAACAGCCACAGAGAAGTAAGGACAGCAGCTGCTGATGTTTTCATGTGTATCGTTGGAAGAATCTCTTCTAAGGAATCTTGTTTATTGGAACCACAAAGCAGTCTTTTGTCAGACCATCTGATCATCCACTCAAGCAATTTTGCAATATTATTCAACTTGTCCATCAATTCTATTGTTAGTTCTTCTCCTGGTACAGTATCAACTACATCAACAGTTTTGTAAATGTATTTAGAAGTTGCCTGAGTTTGCAGGGCAGACGAAGTATGGCTAGGAAAGGTCTGGCTTGCTAGTGCAACATTGACTCCTTGATTATGAGTCTGAGCTCTGTAAGTCGATTTGTGTTTTAAACCAAATAATCCTTTGTTAAGTCCTTTCATTAGGTTATGCACAGAAGGTTCTTTTGTCTGTACAACGGACTGCACAACTGTTGGTTTTTCCAAAATATTTTGGGTTTTGTTATAGATAGATGTTTCAGGATCACAAGATGACAGGGTGACAGTATAGCAAGACCCAGCTCTAAAAACACTTTGACTTCTACTTTTGCCTTGTCGACGTTTTAGTGTCGTGTGGACATCAAAAAAGAGAGAGTTCAATTCATGCTCTCGAAGAAGTCCAGAAAAACTAGTAAGAAACGGAATTCCAATGTCACTGTACTTTATCAGGTCTCTCTCAAGAACATAACTCAAAAAGAGTTCTAAAAACCTAACATATTCATCATCATCACGTTCAAATTCCCATGCACCAACTACAGGCAAATTACATTGATTAGGCATATCTCTTCTAAATACTTTGTCTTTATGTATTGTTTTCCAGTTAAGAGCTTTTATCTTGCATGTGCTATTTTTGCTACCTATTTCTCCTTTTCTCTGGTGTTCATTATTTCTGTAAGACAATAAACATAAGAACTGTTAACACTAAAATCCATTTTAAGAAGAATTACATGAAAAAATAACTAAATGCAGTATTAGTTTCTTTTCTTCCTTTAGTATTAATAAATGGTAAACTAACAAACCCAAATAGACATTAATAAAATGTTAAGGTGGCAAATTAATCAAATGCAAAATCCATAATTTTTCCACAGGTAGAAATTAGGCAGTAACATATAAGAATGTGGAGATAGCTGATAATAACTTGCACTTCAATAACATATTAGACACATACTAACTAATATAACAGTAGCAGTTCTCTGATTTGGTAAATTTGTGATTCTTTAAATCACTCAAAGTGGCAATTATCCTGTTTGGTGAAAAGATTACTTGATCAGCAGGACACAACTTTTATTTTTCCTTCCCCCACCCCGCCTCTCAATTTAAACTGATAGCTTCCTGCTGCAACTTCTTCCTACCTTTGGAATGAAGGTTTTTGAGCTCTCATTTCTTCAGTACACAAAGCATCAGAAAGTGTATCTGCTGTGTCAGCATCAGTGTATACCTGAGGATTCCCAAGATCAGTAAGGGTGCTTGTGCTTAGACTAGTGCCTATTGAGAATCTGTCATAACAGTGTTCCTTATCATCTGCTGCTTCCTCCTCTGCTGGCTCCCAAATATTAATTTCTATAGGGCCTATGTTCCTTATTACACGTCTCAAGGCCTTCTTTCTCGCTTCTTCAGTAGCCTGAATAATAACAGACATAATTTCTTCATTTTCAGGACCTACTGAAAGAAAGAAAACCAATTTTTAAATCTGCAATTTTCAGTTTTCAATTAGTCCTCAAACTGAGACATGAATTAGCTTTAAATTAAAATAATAATTATAGCCATTTAGCATTACAGAATGAAACTATGATAAGGTGAAGAAATGCCAAAAACTTGAAAGTCATGACACTCCGTAATTGGTATAGATGTATCAGAAAGAAAACACACAATTTGTCACAAAACTCAAAGTTGTCTAACTAGAAACTACAGTAATTGTTTTACACGGCGTATGAAAGAAGGTACTGTCACAATAATACCCAGTTAATAAGTGAAGCAAAAAAGAAAGTTTGTTTAATATTTCCTGAAGAAGGATGAACATTACCTTTAACAATACTGTGTCTGAGTCGCTGTTGAAGTGCATTGTATTTATCTCTTAGTGGAACCCTTATATCTTCAGGATTAGGAAATGCTTTTACAAAAATCTCTGCCACCTGCACAAAAGACCACATCTTTTTCAGTAGCCAACATACAGGTATGGTATCTTTTCCCACAGAACTTTCACCACTAGAAAACCTGACTAGTAGCTTTTCCAAGGAGAAGAAACATTTGTGATCATTTTTACTGCTTTTATTCTAGCTTTAATTTTTCTCTACCTTTTTCGTTGGTGGCAATTCTCCAAGTAGACTCAAAATTACATCTTGAACTAATTCTTCAACATTCATGAACCTGCAGAAAGGAAGCATTCGACAAGCCCACTCCACTGCATTCAAACAATGCTCAACTGTGGAGGCATCATGTTCATTCTTCTTCAGATCCTAAAAAAAAAAATCGCCAGAAACATTGATTGATACGGACAATATATTTCGGCAAAATTATTCATACATTGCAAATGGTAATGCTTCTTCCCTAGCCAATAAAAAATAAACATCTCTAACTTAACTGCCAAGCACAGAAGTGTACGATGCCAGGAGACAGATCAAGGTTGCAATCAATCATAACATACATTAAAAAAAAAAAAGGATGGAAAAAAAGAGCTTTTTTTTAAATCACCTTAGGAAATAATTCCATTAACAACTGCTGAATAGTCTGTTTGCAGTCATTTAGAGTAAAACTTGAGAGTTTGACTATACTAGATGTAACAGATTAAAAATACTGAACTACCAGTAAATAATTTTACTGTGACTTATGGTGATTGTAAATTCTTTCTTGGGATCAAGATAATTAAGATTATTATTCTTTTTGAAAACCATGTATATTTAACACCATATTTAGTGTATTAAGGAAATAGCCAAAATATCTTGACCTGATGGTAAAAAAAACCCCAAACCAGGAAGTAAATATTTAAGTAGACAACAAGTGTAATAAATATTTCTCTTGCGGCAGCATCTCTTCAATTATCTCAGTTAAATACCAGAAAAAGCCCAACAGAAATACTGTTAGGAAAATGGAGTTCATGTGGATACCACTATTCTGTAGCATCACATACATGCTGCACATTGTAGCACTGTGCTCATTTTGTCCTGTTAAGCAAACAGGAGTTCTCACAGAAATATACAGTAGACCTTTAGAATTCTTCTCATAACTTCATGCAATTAAAATGTATTTTTACTATATTACTAGTATAATTACCTGCATATTGTTAATATTTTCCCTTGCAGCTTGGTACCGCCTACAGTTGTCAGACAATTTTTCACGAACATGAAACATCCAACATAATGCACATAACTCTCTGAACCAACCTACAACACAAATATGAGATACAGTGAGATGCTATTTAAATAAGTTAAATAGAATAGCTTGGAATTTTTAGCTACAAGAAAGTAATTCCCATTATCCTAAAAGCAGTTTTAGAGAAAAGAATCACTCATTCTTGATTTTTCAATATTGTTCTACAGCTAGAACTCTTCAGTCCAACTTTGTGTTCATGTTCTCTCACACCTGTCAGGTCTGTAACATGTACCCCCACCCCAAATCCAGAAGAGCACACTTCAGAGTAAGAGTTTCGACAACTACCATAAAACCTGGAAAAGGAATTTTTCTGCACACACTGCAATATACTATTGCAAGCTAATAAGAGCTTATTTGCACCTGTGGATTTTCACTGGTTTCCTTTTTTCTAGCTCTAAGTTATTCTATGTTATTGCATACAGACCTAAAATTTTACAGGTAATATCATCAAACTGATGAGGTTCAGAAGATGTAGTTCCACACAAAACAGTGCAGAAATTGCAGTAACGAAGCAAAGTCTCTGGGAATGGACTCAGCAAAGGAAGAGATCCTTTCATTCGAATCTACAGACAGTAAAAATAAAGAAATAAATAAACAATCAAAATGGAAATAAAAATCAGTCAACATTTTATATGTATCACTGCTAAATGCACAGCCTGACAGTTATTAGCAGAATAACAGTAAATTCCCTTAAGCTTGCTTTCCATTTTCTTCAAATCACTATTCTGAAAATTCTTTTACAGAAATATGTTTAGTGTGAGCTATGGCAGAAAAAATGCTTTTGTTTGAATAGTACTCATGATTACCACGAAACACAGGAGTAACCAAGTATAAGAACAACAAAGATCACAATCAAGAAGCCAGATTAATCCAATACAGTCCACGTTGCTGTTGCCAAGGCAGACTAGTTTTCCCTCTGGTTTCAGTTGGGACATCTGATCACCTTCCTGTGCCAGCATTAAGCATGTGACCATGCAATGAGCAAAGAGAAGGAATTATTTGTCAGTCAGACCATTCCTGATCTGGATCCCTGCATTAATGCTGGTGCAGGAGATTGAGTCACACACATTCCCTTCTGTGGGTAAGTCAACCTTCTTTAAGTAGCTGTGTAAAAATTACCTAAGAAAAACCTGACTTTACACAAAAAAATTTAATCAATATATTCCGATCTTGCTTCTGCACAAAGAAATTGCACAATAGTAGAATGATATCCTATAAATTCTGTGCACTAAGGTGACCTCTTTACCTGAAGTGAGCATTACCTTCTCTGCTACATATTCAGCCCTAAGTGAACTGGAACATACTTCCAGCTAACAGCTATAACTCCCAATTAAAGTTTGCTTGTTCTTTTCAAATGGAGAATAAAAGAATTTTACCAAGTAGGTATAGAAAGACACACAGAAGGAAACACTTTATGAATTAGATACCCGATATCTGTAAGTTCTGGTTTCCTAAAAAAAAAAAGAACATGGAGTGTAAAACTAGATGACAACATGTAAAAAAACATGACATCAAAGCCCAGGTGAGACTGAATGCTTCTGCAATACAACTGCAAGCCTGTCAGTAATATTTACAATTGATAATTAAGTTATTTAAAAAAACAGTTAAATACTTACTTTCTGCATAACTTTTCTTGCTCGCTTCAGTTGTGTAATATACCACTGTGCTGCAGGGCAAGAACAACGAGCAGCCCGGAAGAGCAAGATAATTCGCTGAAGAACTCCTGACACTTTCTGACGAATTTCTCTCTCCATTTTTAAAAGAATGTCATTGCCAACTTCCTGAAAAATGAAAAAAAAAACAAACCCCAAAATTAGAAAGGACATATACCTAAATGCTGTTTTGGCCCCTAAAAGTATACAGCATAGATCCCTCATGGGAAAAACACAGAGGCACACCTACTTTCTTATCACTATGGTGTTAGTCAAGTAAATGAACGGACATGGAAAAAAAACCAGAAAAATGAGCTGAAAGGAATCAGAACAAAGATCATGATCACTTCATAAACACATTCAAACAAAGACCCAAGAAACTTCTATCACACATGCTTACTTCACTGAGGGAAGCCGGCTGAGGACAGTATAACGGTGGTGCTGGAAGATAGAGCCCAACTGGAACCAAACCATACAATTTTCTGCTGAGATCCTTGGCAGAATCCATCAACAGCTGAAACGTCTCTGAGAGAACATCAGCATCTGCCATAACAGCTGCTTTCAGTAGTTCTTGTACTGAACTATAAAGAACATCTGCATCTTCCTCTTCAATGGGATCTATAAAATATTAAGCACAGAAAACAAAAAATTAATTGACTGAATACATGGGCCTTCCTTTTGACATGAGGCTATGTTCTCAGAATTTGCATTAATCTATTACAATTGTAAATCTCACCTACTTGCTTTAAGATAAGATTTCTCACAGTTGAAAATAGTATTCAATTCTTAATTTTAAATTTTCCCTATTAACGGGGATGCTATTGCTTTTCTAGATAGAGAACATTTCAGCCAGGCATTTGGTTGGAATAAAAGTCTGGCAAATCATTCTTACCAAGCAGGCATAAACTACGTACACCAGTAATAATGACTAAAACAATCCCTTTATCAGTAAGCACAAAGGTCAAGGATCTCTTTTGTTGGATCTCTTCTACATATTAGTACATCTTTACCTTACCTCCTAGAGGTAGAAGGACATTTAACATACATCATTAACTGGTTCATGAAATTCACAGAGAATTATACTGCTCTACTTGCATTTCCACTCCTCCTGCTAGTCTTGAAGTAAATGCTGTCAAATCTTTCCAACTCCTTATCATACTTATAGATTGTTACATACAGCACATATTTGTGTATGTGAAGTTTGTGTCTATTTGAAATAAAATCCCTGGAAATGAGTACAAAAGAAGAATGTACACAGTGTTAGAAAGAGATTAATTAATGTCCACCTGCTGACAGGAACTGGAAATGTGGTTTTAAAACACACAAAAAGGGAGTAAGAAATGGAGATCTTGCCAGTAAACTTTCTGTAAAATGTACATAAGGACAGGTTGATTTAACTAATTTTGTGAATTTCAGCAGTAAAATATTAAATTAGGTTATATGATAAAAATCTCATATACACACACACAAAGGAGCACAGAGATTGAATAGTACCCTAGACTCATCTACTCAGAGTAGAAAAATCAGCCCAAAGGCTTATCTTATCTCCACATGCCCAGAGATGCACAACAACAAATTATGTACTCAGAGAAATGGACACCTGTCCAGGCTTTTCCCAGGAGAGTCATCAGCCCCAGGGTCCAGCTATGAAACCCATCAAGATGAGCCAGCAGGAGAGGGTCCCTTCAGTAGCTCTTGGCTTGAGAGAGGTTACTGTCAAGAAGGATAGGACATACTACAGAATGCAGAGGAAGAGCTTTTTGGGATTGCACAAGGTTCATGACAGGATGTGTGTTTGTGTATGTACCTACTGGGAACCCACTCTCAGCCTTGCTAGCTGCTGGACCTGGGGACATGGAGGTGCCAGGCTACGAGACACCAGCCCTATCCCCTTTAACAGAAAGGAAAAGCCAAAACTACACACCTTCACGAAGCTAATTTTAAGTGTGATGATACCTTACATACTGTTCATACACTTGCTTTTTTTGCTTGTTCTAATGAAGCTTCAGTTTTCTTCCAAACAAGTTAATACCACATATAGTCCAATCAGGGTTAGGACAGTATAGACTCCATTCCTGGATTGATCAAAGCCAAAACCCAAACCCCTATGATACTAAAGTGTTCAAATATATTGTAACAGTAATAGGCACATTGGAGAAGATGAAGTAATTGTTTCTTTCTAAGGAAGAGTATAACACAGTAATCAATAACATAAAAAATAACCACAATCATTTTTGATTTTAAGTACCTGTAAACTTCTTGTATTTAATGTGTCCTGATGTTTCAGAAGTTACTGGTTGCCCTAAAAAAGACCGTAACTTCTCCTGAAAAGTCTGCATTGGTGACAGGCCTAAAGGCAGGTGATGTTCTGTGTTTTTCACTCTGAAAGTATAACAAGAAACTGCTCATGAATAACAAAGTAATAGCCATACATAATGCAATGAAGGTCTCTTAAATTAATATTTAAGCCAAAACGAGTAATCACAACATATTAAGTCCTACACCTACTAGGAGTCTGGGAATATGAATTTTTGAGGAAAGGATATTCCATGTCACAAAGAACTTCATGAAGATAACTCACAACAAAATATAACAAACTAATTCCAAACTTAAATTTACCTTGAGAATCCATCAGAGTTCTGACAATACAGCTGGTAGGCCAGACCAATTGAAACAGACAGTTTCCAGTCCCCAAGTGTGTGTGCTAACCACACAGCTTCTGGGATGAGTCCACCAATAAAGAACAAATCAAGAGCATATTCAGCTGTCCACACAGATGAAAGGTTCTGTTCCCTGACAGCTCTGGTAACCAAACAGTGTTGCAGTGGAATAACACGAGGAGACAAGTCTGTAAAACAAAAGCACATTTTAAAGTTTACATGAAACTGCGTGCTACCACATGAATAATCTAGAATTCATTTGTTCACATTGCTTTGGGATTGATTTCAGTGTACAATTGCTCTTTGCTTTTAGGGGCTCGCTATGGAGTTTATTTGCAACAGGCAGATGCAGCTTATGATATGATATAATAATAAGTTCAGAATAGCCTATTTTTCTGCTTAATAATGTGGGATATGCAAGCAAGTGCAAAACTTGTGAGTTTTTCTTACTTTAAAGACTTAATCGTGCTGTTAGACCATTTCCAAATATGCTACATATGCATAGGATATACCAGAGAGTACACCCAAGATAAATGGAAATTCTGTGAGTTTTCCTAGTGTATTCATGTTGTTTGTACTCATTGCATTGCCTTACTGCAGAAGACAGAATGCTAAAATGCATTTCAGAGAAAGAATGTTACATAACACTCTGTGGTTCTTTGATTTTAGGAGCGTATATAGAGACAAGCTTCATACAAATTCAGTATTTCCTTTTTTCTGTAGATTTAGAATTGTTTTTCAAGGTTTTACATACTGGTTCTCCTGAAGAGGTGCTGATCAACATGAATTCTAAGGAGCTATTTGCTTCTCTCGCAGTTTCTGTTTACTGCTCAGACAATGGCATTATTTAGGGAGATATCCAGCTTGTGCTACATAATTTTACCAAGACTGCCTCACCACGTACATGGATCTTTGTCTAATGGAAGTATTAAAATCAAGGTCTTATTTTGTAGTTTTCATCTGGAAAGCTGTCCAATTAAAACATCTAAAAGAAATATATACCACTGCATAGTTTCTGTAGTACAGAAACATTAAAAATAGTCAATGTATTCAAAAACACTACAGAAAACATAATCAATCAAAATAAGTTAATACTGGTGTTATAATATTGACCTACCAGTAGAGTACTTAAAATACCTCCAAATAAATCTACATTCCCATGGAAAAAATTAATACTGAATCCACAAGTTTCCTAACAAGGGAAATCTTTAAATGGAATCTCTTGCAGAAAATACATAAACCACCTATTATGATAAATACTACTTCTCATAAAAATGCTAAAAAGCAGGACTTAAACTAACAAGTACTACTTGAGTTCAACAACAAACCGATTCGGCATTCCCACTAGTTTTGACAATACAATGTCTGAAGCCTCTTGGATTCCAAGAGCTTGACTGTTAGATAAGCAAAAAACACTCATTTCTGGCTTTTCAGTTTGGGTCACAGCATATCAGATCCAACTCAACTATTTGTTAAGCCCTCCTTTTTTCTCACTTTTGGGAGGATCAAAGTCAGTCAGAGCCAGATCTTTAGGCATAATTGTGACAAAGGACGATAAAAAGGCTGACACACTTAATTGCCTTCCCTGCATTAGTCTTTATAGTAAGACCTGTTGTTCCCCAGGCACTGAGCCCCCTGAGGTGGAATACAGGAACAGGGAGCAGAATGAAGCCTCCACAATCTAAGTGAAAATGGTCAGTGACCTACTACCCCACTTAAGAGACACATAGATCTATGGAGCTGGATGGGATCCACCCAAGGCTACTGAGGGAGCTGGAGGAAGTGCTCACTGAGCCTACTTCATGGAAAACCTAACTTGATGATCAAGTTAAAGCATAACAGACAGCATTGATATACATGTAAAAAATTATCAAGATTTTTGCAAATTAAACTGCTTTTAGAGAAAATACCTTGTTTGATGTGAAGTGGATGCAGGATGTCAACACTGTGTGGGGGAAAGATATAGAGCAGCTGATTTGTGAAATAAGCAGCCATGAATCGTGCCATGGACCGAATCACAGCCATGGCAGTCTCAGTATGAATGCTGGTTACCATCCATAGTTCATGCTGAAAATACTTGGTATCTAAAAAAACACATAAAATTAAAACATTAAGAGGAAAATGAATTTACATTCAAATGCTAAAATTGTTTAATCACGTTATAAAACATTTCTTTAAAGCAAGCAAACATATTTAATTTCTTGATAAGCTTTCAGAACTTACACTAATTACACCTCATATTATTACTAGAAAAGTTTTATAATAGATTTTTAATGGCTGGAGATGGACCTCTAGCATCATAATTTAGAGTAGCGCTGGGTCAAAACCCTACTTGTTTAAATTTGGAAATTTAGATTTCACTTAGATTCAGACTTAATAGAAGCAAAATTTACAAGCATCTGCAAAAACACCTCACTGTTAATTTAGTATTGATGACCAAAATAAAATCCACTATTTTATTGTGTTGTATTATAAAAAATACTAAATGAATACAAAACAAAATCACATAATTTCCCCCTTATTCTTGTTATCCAAAGTCTTTCCTTGAGCAGTTTTGAGTCTAAAATATTGCTTTCACTATTAATTATACAATGAAAGTTGTCTAGGCACATATTTCAACAAGTGCTGCTGAAAGATCATCTGAGAATCAGGAAAAGATCTTGGAAGTTACTGAAAACAGATGTCAGTCCAGTGTAAAGAGAAAAGTATGCTGTCAAGTGTGTGTGTGATGGCATAGAAATGAGACACTAGGTTATTCAAACAGTGTCAACATACCTTATCAGACTTTTAGGTAATATAAACATACCAGAAAATTTTTCCATCTGACTTGTTGAAAGATGTGATCGCCTTAGAATCTCTCCTACTAAATGATCACAGAGTCCCTGAGCTTCACACAAGTTATACTGATACAGGTGGCAAAATAATATTGAAAGATAATATCTAGTCTGAAGAAAACATGTTCTTTTTCCTCCTGTATTAAAAGATAAAAAAACAGGGCAAAGTCCAGTTGGAAAAGAAACAATAAACACAAAATCAGACGCAATGAGTGAAAATACTAGCTCTTCCCTCTCCAGAAATATATCTACATAAACATATACCTGGAGAAGTAGAAATCAGGAGCAGCTATTTTAGGATATGATCTTTCTACAATCTCTAAGTAACTAGTAAGTTAATGCTCATCCACAACATTTTTACTTCTAGAGATATGGTAGTTTTCAAAATAATACTGCGCATAACTGTTAAGACACAGTCAAAGACAAGAGAGCTTAAGGGAGTTTAGCCTTCAAAGAAGGAATGCCTAAACCACAATGAAATTGCTTAAACATCCACCAGGCTTTCAATATTCAGAATATTTTTCTCAATGAGGTATTCCTCATCATAATGACCAACAAAAAATTTTCTCCTGATGCCTGGAAAGAGACACCGATATATCCACTTCAAATCAACTCCTAAAAAAACTCCTGCCACAGGTTTTATTTTGTTACTTTCCAAACACTAAGTCTTTTCATTTTACAGCTACTAAAGGAATTGATTTTTGTTCATCTGTTTTTCATTGTCTCTGTCTTACTCACAAATATATCTAGAGCTTTTCTGTACCAAGTACTTTGTAAACACAAGACAGCTTTTATACTAAAATAGAAATGCACAGAATTTTCTCAGAGATCAACCAGACTTAAGTTTTGACTGGTCTCTATTCAAATCCCAGCTTAATTTCAAATGTGCATTCTTTTTGTTTCTCACCCTTTTTTTTTTTTTGAAGGGTAAATGGAGTCACAATTAACTACGTAAAGCAATTATACAATTTACGCCCAAGAAAGATTTTATCCCCTACCTTTTGCCTTGGTTTCACAAAGAGACCTTTTCCAAGTGTCAACAGATTCTCTGTAGGAGCCTAAAAGGAATTGCTCCTCACCTATAAAAGTCACATATGTAACAAATTAAAAGCTCTACATGATTACTTTTATGCAAACACACATGCATTTCAGTATTAGAGATCTGTGAAAAGCAGAGTAAAATATATGAGACTCTAGGAAATTCCTATTCTCACAGTTAAATCTAAGTTTTGAGCATATGAGCAAAGATTACTTTGAATACCCCTCCCTAGGACAGGTGATATATTAGCTCCTCTCCAGAAGGAGCTAATGTATCGTATTGGAGTGACGTTGGATGAGAATCTAGGAATGTCATTTAAGGGAGAGAGATCAGGAGTATGGAGATGAAACAGTATTGTGGTGGGAGACATAAATGGGAACCTGGGCTTAGCAGTGTAGAAGTGAAAAGGAAGGTAGAACGTAGGACAGTAATGTGCAAGACATTAGCCTACAGCTATAGACTGTTTGCAAAATAAATATGATAGATTAAGTCTACTACCTTAGATTACACTAATTTAGATGTTTAGTTGAGGCTGACTACATTTGTGTACACAACATGGTTGTACTCACAATAATCACATGGAATGAACATAAAAACCCAGTAAGAAACACATTGTGATGCTCATTTACTTTGGAGGAAATAACACAGTTCAAAGGAGATCAGAATTCAAATCTTGCATTCACGTTCTTTAGGACATGGCTCAAAGCAAACTGAAATCAATGTATTCTTTTTATTTTGCTCAACAAGCTCTAAAGATTATCTACAACCTACCGGTGTACCAGTACATTAAGTATTAAAGAAAGAATTCTGACAAGAATTTTAAGAAAAGTCCCACTATTAACTTTTTCAAAATCTGGTAGTCAGTTATTGATTGTCATTAAGTTGGACCTAATTTTCCTAGTATTTACTTGACTATGCAACTATCTAACATTTGTACTAACCAGATACAGAATTAATCTTCAGATGTTGTTCTAATGTCACTCTTGAAGACTGGAGGGTTGCTTGTATATGACTTATAAGCAATGAGACAACAGAAGCTTCTTCTGCATTCTTGTTCACTTTTCTTTTCAGCTGCACCTGATACCAAACCGCTTTCTTATATAATAATCGCCATAGTACAATCAACCTGTAGTTCAAGAAGTACAATATTATGCAATTAAGCAAGAATTAACAAAGTTACTTAAATCAATTTCTTACCTCCTTGTATTTTACATTGCATACCTGAAAATTAAATTATATCAACTACTTTCTTGACTACAATGAGGAGAAGAAACCATTAATTCTTCTGAATTTGCCTAAACACAGTAATCTGCTTTAAGCACCCAAACACCCCCAAAATTAATCCTCTTGCTAGCTAAACACTGGGGAAATGAAATAATCTCAGACAGAGAAACCTCAAAACAGGTATCAGTATCTTGCTTATAAACACTGATTAAAAATACAATTAAAGCATACACAGAAAACCAAAGACAGGAAAACAAGCATGCTCTTAGGGCTGGCAAATCCCTGTTGTCCAGCATAGTCCTATCAGATATACCCACTCAGATATGTAATAAGCTTGATGATACACGCAAATATACATTGTTAGGGACTAGAAAAAGCTTGCACAGAACTGCAACACCTCTGCATCTTCTTCCCAAGTACTATTGTTTCCATAATTAATTATGTTAATTAACATAAACAGAGTCAGTCACAGGCACAGTGCTCAGTTCCTCAATAACAATTAATCAAAAACATTGATTATCTTCTCAGAGACAACTGAAATTTGCCAATAGGATTTGCAATGAACATTGCAATTATTATATTTTAAGATTATTGAGGAAATACATTTTACTGTAGTAGAATTAAATTTATGAGTTATAATACTTCTTTGGTTCTAAATCTCTGAAAAGGAAAATCCTGCTTGTATGAATAACACACTTGGATCCATCTGAGTTCTGCAGTACAGAAATACTCCATGATAATAATACATTTTCCCAATAGTTGGATAGCACACTTCAGTTTAAGTGTCTTCCAAGTTTATGTGTATATCTTCAAAGAAAAAGTAACTCTCATAGTTTAGTAAGCTTCCACAGACTGGGCTTTTTCCTATTGCTCTGAGGCACCACATCCATAATCAATACAAACTTTACTAACTAAATTGACATTGTTGATATATCGTATATGAGTAGGCTCTTGGTCCATAGAATTTGCAACTGGGAAGGAGTGAAAGCACAAGAGGCAGTTAAAGCATCCAAAGTTACAATACCTGGATTGATGCTGCACTGCCAGACCAGGTGTGAGCTGTCAACCCATCAATTATCTCTGAATTAATTTGCAGTAATTAGTTTAGTCACTACAACTTAACTATATTCATCTATAGGTCTGAGGCTTAATCTGTGTGCTTTAACAGATTATCATGCCTTTCCATTGAGTAAAAGGTAGAAAAAAAAAAAGGGATGTTGCAATCACAGTGTAACTCATAAAATTTGGTTCCAACATATAGAATCACTTGGGTTGGAAAACACCCTTAAGATCACTGAGTTCAACCATTAGAACTCCTGGTCATAAAAGGAGATCATGCTGGTCAGGAAGGATCTGCCTTTCACAAACCCATGCTGGGTGGGCCAGGTCCCCTTGTTGTCCTGCATATTTTTATTTCCCCATGCAAAGATTATTCATACCTTCTTTCTGTTTTTGCATCATGGTTTACTCGAGGAGGCTCTCTAAGCAGAGATTTCAGCGAGCTGAATTGCTGAGTAGTATTGTCATCAAGAACTGAGAAAACAGGCACAGTGAGGGAGTCCAGTTCCACAAGAACATTACCATTAGGAGATGCAAAAAAATTCTCATACTGTAGTACACACACACTACTAAGAGTGTGAGAAACCATTTTTAAAAGACAGAAGCATGCCAAAAGGTTTTTAGAGAACAACTGATCTTGTTGCTGTATAAGCAGCAGTTTTAAAGTTTCTAATGTCAGCTTTGCCACATGTCCAGTTAGACTGGCTCTTGAATGCCAGTACAAGACAGTCAAACACTGCTGAAAATACTTTAGGACACAATGCAACCATTGAGTATTCTTCACAGACTTGTTTAAAGATGCATCCTGGTTTAGCAAAGAACATTTCACAAACTGAACAATGCTGAAAAAATGGATAATGCAGTTCACTGTGTAATTCAGCAATGTATCCTTCTCTTCCATATTTTTTGAAATCCCTATCTGCCAGGCAGTAAGGAGGTTTTTCTGAATGGAATATAGTTTCAACGATGATTTATCTTTCTCTTCAATATCATCTGCATGCATAGTATCAAACATTGACGCAAATTCTAAGTGGCCTTGATCAGCTTTACCAACAATTGAAAGGATTCTTTGGTTATGGAAGCTGGGAGAGCTACGGTAAAACTGCTTTTCATCATCTGATTCTTCTTCATAATCCTAAATCAGACAGAAAGAAAACTCCAGTATAAGTCAAGTTTATTGAGAGAGGGCAGTCTGCAAGGAATAACCATTTGGTCAGCCTTTCAAATGAAATCTTTATGCTTAATTAACTTGCTTAAATGTTAGTAAGTTTAATTCACATCAGTTTCATCTTGATTTCAAATTGAATGTGATTATTTGTAGTAGTTGGGCAGACAGAAATTAAATTACCTAACAACAACAACAAAAAAATTACACTGCCAACACAGCAGTAGATTTTATACTAGAAAGTGAAAATATGTCCTTCGCTAAGTCCAGAATATGAGAAAGAGTTTTTGCCAGATACCTGTAAGATATAAAAGCCATTCAACAAAAGCCCTAAAGTTTCAGAGAACAAACTAAACCACAAAAACATGAAATGCAGGAATGAAGTTGGGAAAGGCTGCACAATAACTACGATCACAGGGCCACTATTCCAAAAGACACACACAAATTTTGGAATTTATGAAACAACCCTCTGAAACTGGGGACAACTGTAAGTATCTTATTTACTAAGGATAACATTGTTCTTAGTAATATACTCTACAGCTCCAGTATATCCAACAGTGTAATGTTACATTTTTATTATGAAGTGAAGTTAATAGTAACTTCCAGTACATAAAAGGGGTACGAGAAAGATGGAGAGGGACTTTTTACATGGGCACGTAAAACAAGAGGACAAGAAGGAATGGCTTTAAACTGAGAGAGGGCTGGTTCAGATCAGATGGTAGGCAAAAATTCTTTACTCTGAGGGTGGTGAAGCACTGGAAGAACTCGTCCAGAGAAGTTGTGGATGCCTCATCCTTGGAAGTGTCCAAGGCCAGGCTGGATGGGGCTCTGGGCAACTTGATCTAGGGGATCACAACTGAAAACATTCTACAATTCTATTAAAATACAATCAACTGAGGTACACGTAGACTAGCGCACATTATTCAAAAAGTTAATGCACTGCTGAAAGAAATAAAACGTTGGAAAATAGAAATGTTTGAAGAAGAATCAGTTGAAAAAAATAAGCATATTCCTCACACCTACAGAGAAAATGAAAATTTAACCAACAATGAATTACTTTAAATACATACAATAAGAGCAAATATATCTATATTTGGAAAAAAAACACCATTCTTTCTAATTAGAATACCTTAAAATCAAATAATTTCACAATTAGAAGTGGAAAAATGCTATTAAGTACCAGTAAATCCACAGTTTTCTCGATCATTTCTGTTGTGTCTTTTTCCAGGAACTTTGGAAGGGTGGAAAAGATGGAACTTTGGTTTTGAACTTGTTTTAAAAGGCTAGCTTTTAAAGACAACAGTGATCTTAAACACTGAGATCTTCCTTTAGACTGAAAGAAATAAAAATAACAGAAAACATATTATCAGTCTTGAGCAAGACAGACACTTCATAAATAAGTCAAAGAAATTGGTTACTTCTGTCAAAAGCTTCAGTTTAGAAGTCCCAGACAGAAAGGGAGAATGGGTCTGCAAGCATCTATTGCACAGAAACAAGCTGTCATTTGACCATGCTTCAGAAAAGCAGAGTTCTCTCAGCACCAGACAACTTTAGTTTGTTTCATACTGAAAGAATCTGCTTGCTTCATCCCTAAGAGGCCCTACAAGTTTCCCTGTATGTAAGGTTTTCTTGCATTTTTACTAGTAACATATCTCTTTAAATGCCCAAATCCTTGCTCACTATTCTAGCTTATGCATGAATACCATGATAACTCATTTCTTCAAAAATTCAAACCAGAAACTGAATTGGAAGAGAAGTTGTATTCCATCAGCAAACACAAAAATTCTGAACTAAATATCTATTATATCTTATATGGTTGCCAACAGCTGCAGGACCTTCTCTTTCAATGGTTTCCTTTCTCCCAAACTTAGCTCAATTTAGAAGTGACAGAAAAATGAACAGAAAATGCTTTAAGCAAGCTTTAATTGCCAATCTTGATCGAGGACGCACACACACTGCATCACTGGGACTGCTGCTGACTGCTCTAAAAAAGCAGCAGCCTAAGATACAGGATTTACAGAATCCTTTTTCATCATTCTGAAAGGATGAGCTGGTCAGAGTAGCATAATGCCCGTCAATGCTCTGAACCAACTCTATAAAAGCAGAAATCCCTATTTCTCTTGCAGTTCCAGGAAAAAGTAATATAGGACAATTAAGACTGTTCCCTTCACCCAGACATGAAGGGAACAACATTTCAGGAAAACTATGTATTCATTGTTTTACAGACCAACACTATTCTCAAAACAACTTTATAATTCAAATAAAATTAAGCAAATATCACAGTAAACTAAACTGAGGTACTTGGTTTAGAATTCACACATTTTCATACAGATAAAGCTTTTTACTTAGAGCTTACTAATTCATAACTCTACCTTGAAGTTCTGCAAATTCCGACGGATATTTTCAAGCTGTTGGGTTGAATCAAGCAAAAGGGATTTTATAAATCCTGATGGTGAAAAGTTGTTAGGAAATCTAAGCACTGTTATCATGTATCCATCAGAGACAATGAGGTAGGGTAATCTCGAATGTGAAGCAACAGAGAATTTCTGTCTCATAAGGTCACGTTCAGAATCTGAAGAAGCAGGAGACTGGCCAGAGTCTTGACAAAATAAGTGCTGCTGTCTAAAACAAAGATATAACAAAAATTAGGAGGCAACTCTCACATGTAATAATCATGAACAGAAGAGAGAAGAAATAACTTAGGAACATCTAATACCATGTATTCCAGTATCCAAATAACTCCTCTCAGAATCCTAAGGAAGTGTCTAAATTTTTGCAGGGTGAGCACTATGGACACAATATTTATGCCCATAAAATGCCAATATTTTGCTGCAGTAGCAACTTTTTCTAATTTAAATAAAAATAAAAACAGCTTTTGGTATCCATTTATTATTTTAAGAATTGTATTTTTTCATAATTTGACTTTAAATTTCTATATTATGTATTGTTATCCAGCTCTTACTAGGTAATGACAAATGCTTGAAAATGAAACTTGAAGTCACTTGTAAGAAAGTCATATAAGAAAAACAAAAAATCCATCAAGATATTAATCTTAGGATTTCAGTATCAGTTCAGATATTCAAAAGAAAAATATATAAACACACAAGTCTTCACTTTCAAAAGAGGTCTTAGTCTTTTCTTACAGAGAAATCCCTCCTTAATGAGTTCCAGAAAGCTGTGTTAATATTAGCCTCATTACACATTATTGCCAAGTATAAAATTATTGTTTGTGTTTATTTGAAAAAAAAAAAAAGTAGCTGCATATATTCAATAAATAACCATAATTCATGTATTTTAATACATTTTATTATTTGAGTTTTCAACCAGGTAATGTAAGAAGGTACCATAATGTTTCGAACGTCTTTATGAGATGTTACATTTACATACTATCTGGCTTAAGTCAATCAAAATTGATAGGATTTAAAAAAAAAATTAAACTTTAGATTCTATTTTGTTTCCACCAATTATTGGGGCTACATTACTTTTTGTAGCTTTCAGTTTATGCTGAAGAGTGTTATCAGAGATCCTTTTATTCCCTCATGCACCCAGCAGCATGATTTCAAAATTTAGATCTGAAGAATCCCAAAAGAACAGTTTAAAAACTAACTAGTTTTTGTCCATGCAAATATGTTATTTACAATGTCCGATATGGAAACTTTATATCAAGTTCTATAGGTAAAATTAAATACTTAGCAGGGAAATAGCACCAGATTAAAATAAATTTGCACTTCTAGTATTTCTGTAAATTTAATTTCTTCTTACATCACAAAAACATGCTATTTTTAATTATTAATACAAATACTTTTCGAAAAGCAAATCACCGGATGTATACTTACATTGTCACAATGTCAACTTTCATCACCCATTATAAGAAAGAGAACTATGAATGAGAAACAGATACTGAGAAGACAAGCAAGAGAGTGAATTTGAAAGATTACTTTTATGTAAAATTATAATAAATATAATAGAAAGTAAGGTAAGACCATAAGACAGAAACATATAAACATTTAAATCCTTTTACCTGTATGTTATTAGTGGATGAAATGGAATAAACTGTGCTGGTCCAAATTCTACAGAGCAGCCAGATGCAATTAAGGTCAGCAATTCACCCATGCACGTCAATAAAATCAAAGATCCACGTTTTAACATGCAAGCCAAGAAAAGGCTATCAGGAGTCCAACTCATATCACCAACCCAGTAAGATCTAAATTAGACAGGTAAAAAAATATTTTTTTTCTCCGTCACATTTCTGCATCAGAAGGTTAGAATATTTATAAAAAAGACAAACAAACCACAACACAAAACTAAAAAAATCCACAACGGCAGCAGAAACAGCATCAAATACTGACCTGATTAACTTGGATGGGACTGTGTTACTCTTGCTACTACAACCTTTAAGGCTACCCGAAACTGTAACAAAATTCAATGTGTTTAAAAATAAAACCTGAGTGGCCTAGAAAGAAAAAATAAATGAAAGACATACATAAATGTTTGTATCAAAATGTCACTATTGTAAAAAAAAAGTCTATTACTAAATAAAAGCCTATTTGATGTAATGGAAATGTTATTACACACAAAAGTGACATTGCACTCCAGTATTTAATACTGTTACAGTATTTATTAAATTCTACACCTAATTCTACATTTGAAATATAATTAAGGACTATAATATACTCAAAAGATAATTTGATATTCTCATTAAAATAACTTTTTCTGAAACACTCAATACAAGATCACTCTTCTGTAGTCTTATTAGTAATTAACAGCTGGAGCTTTGAAAGACTGCATCATTCCAATCTAGTACACCAAATAAGGTGGTCGATACTCTCTGTCATCATTAGCACTAAAAAGTACATTAAGATTTAACCTGACTTGTTAGAAGGAATAACATTATGAAGTGGGAACATCACCTCCAATACATATTAGGCTGAGGCTTGACTGAGAATCACCAAGAATCTTTGCAGATACAATGCAGTAACTGAAATTAATTTCTTTATTATTGAAGATTAGAAATGACAGAGGAGCTTACACAGGCTTCTAACTGAACATCACATTCAAAACATTACAAGCTGTAGTAGCATTTTTTAGCTATGGATATCAATGAGAATATAATCCCATCTATCTCCATGAATCCTGACAAATCATCCTAAAACTGTGTTTTTAATTCTACTACTGCTTTATTTAAACTGCAGTGTTACCTTAAATGATGCACTATCACCCATACCTTTGGATCAGCTTGATTAACAGCTACTGCAAACAGAAGTCCATCTCTTGCAAACGCACATAGCAAAGCTCCTCTTGACTTTACAGACACACACTGAGGAACCAAGTTAGCAAGGGAACAAGTCTGCTGTACCCACTGGATCTGGTATGGCAAAGAACTGGATACCAACAAAAAGATAACAAAACCAAGTGGTTACTCTGTTATGCTGAATGGGATGATTAATTATAATAAAAAAACATGCAAGACAAGACTATATAAAGCATGAACAATAAATAAAAATACCTTCTTTCCTTCAAACGCCTTACAAATGAAAAAATATTTTGTATTTACACAAGTTTAAACATTATGTCCTAGCATTGAGAATTATTTTTATGGGACAGGAATTTGGGCTATATGAATAGATATATACCTATACATTCAAACAGATATAGATGTATGACATAATTAAGGTAGTTGCATTCTAGCCAGGAACAGCTTTCTCAGACCTTGTAACACTATCCAACACAAGAATACTCAGAATTTGAAAATCAACAGTATGCTGCTCTGAACGAAGAAGTTGTGGGCCCCATTACTGGATGTGGTCATGATTTCAGGCTGCAATTGCTACATATATATACACATTTCTACACTGAGTATGTTATGCTCTATTTAACTGTCTATATTACCTGAAAGACATTATCATGTTACTGATAATGTTAGTGGACATTAGATCAAGGAGGACATCATTACTAAGTCAGTATCAAAGTACCATGTCAAGTTTAGGGCAAAATTTTAGCAAGTTTCTCAAATGACACCTGCAGAGGACATTTCCATTTAAACTTACAGATTTGTGTATCTCATTTAGGAAGAGGAATCTACGCTCAAGATTATTGCTCAATTGCATTTTTATGTAGTTGTATAATTATTTCGATACATGGTCCCAACCCAGAGAAACACACACCCGCTCTTTCACAGCCAAACAAAAGAGATGAAAAGGGGAACAGAAAACAAATAAAATACATAAATCTGCATAATAAAGAAGAGGGAGATGTATTCAGGGCATTTGTGGCTGCACAGTATAAGAAATATAAGAAAATATAAGATACATAAGCAATATAAGAAAAAAAACCAAGAAAAAGACATTCTATTAGCATGATGCAAAAAACTCTGACAGTAAAATGTGTGCACAGATGTGTATGTATGCATAGCCACCCACACAGAATGATAAATACACTCAGTTTTATTTAGATGTAAGCTAATAATGAAATATGGAATATGTAAGTAAATGCTGTTACATTAATTACATTTTACAAGGATCCTGTAGCGATAGGACAGGGGAGAAGGGCTTTAAACTGACAGAGGGTATGCTGTGAACTTACATATGTAAACATAAGTAAGAACTTGTAACCACAGGATAACTGGACATAAATGTGTTCCATCGCAGCTCTGAGTCCCAGCTCTAAATAATAATTAAAATGCTCCTGAAGCTATTGTAACTTCAGGTATCTTTGAACTTACCTAACATGTTTAAAGGTATTTTCGTGCCATCGAAGAACCAAAAACGTGAGCACCAAACACTCTCCAGAGTAAAATATGAAAGTGCATAAACAGCAATCACCCAGTATCTATGGGAAAAAAGAACACAATCAAAACGAACACAAAAAGCTCATTACACACAATTTTCTCTTTAATTATCTATACAATTAAATCAATAGCTACTACAATTCAGATTAAATAACAAAATGTTGCCATTCAGAAATGTAAGGGCTGGCAAGAACATTAAAAAGCTAGATAAACTCTGATCTGATCCAGTAGGGCCGTTCTTATGTTGTCGTTAAAGGTAACATGAGCTGAACTATTAAGTTTACACACAATACCAAACAGGTAACCATTGCTCTCAAAATTCAGCATAGCTTCTCTGGCTCTAATTTAATTAGGAAATTAAATGATTGCTTTAGGGTTTATTTTTTACCTCATTCTGTATGAAAGTAGCATGCAATCCAACTTCTTTTTCTTCAGTAGAAGGCAACACGACTGATTCATCAGGTAAAATTTGTGTCCAACGCCCAGAAGAAGAGTTTTTACAAGAGGATGTATCTTCATGTTCTGTGCTCTCCCACAGAAAGACACATGCTGTAGGAGTAGTTAATAGTGCCTTTCTGCCATCTCCAGATACATACAAGTACAACCTCATTAAACACTCTGGGGAAAAAAAAACAAAACAAAACCAAAAAACCAACAAATAAAACAGCGTGTTACGATAGTTTCTGTTCCTTTGTTAGACACAGAATGAAAAAAAATAGAGAAAGGAAATTTCTTTTCTTGTCTATCACAAGAAATTCAAGCTGCCACCTTAAGTATCTTTCATTTCCAGCTTCACCAGTGATAGCAGACCTTGGGCAGCTATGTCAGATGGGATGTCCATTTTTATACCCATTATGAATTATCTTTCCCACCAGACCCAACCATCAGAGATGTTTCCTGAGACTGCCTTTCTTGAAACCCATCTTTCATGAAAAGAAGCAATAAATGTGTAAGTGCTCTATTATGTATTACCTTTAGCTCCTAATTGCACCACTGATCTTCCCTGAAATGGCAGAATTGCTTGTACAATACTTCACTTTACAAGTTGGTATCAGTGATATTATCCAATACATGATAATATTTGATACTTAAGTTTGCAAATACGTGCCTTTATTTTGTTCTCTCCAGCTAGCACTTGTCATAAAATCCCACTTACAGAACAAGCTTCAAGTTATCCATATACTGTTTACAACAGATGTACATCTGCTCTAAAGTATTAATAACCTAGTCAGGAACTGAACAGCTAAAAACTATAATAATGGCCAGTCTTCGTGAACGAAGATTTTGGGAAAGGTCTTTTACCTTTCCAGCCTGCGCAATGGATTTTTTAGGTGAGACACAGCCTGCGCTGAACTGAGCCCACCCTTTAATCCTAAGGTTCATCTGCCGGGGCCAAGCAAGCTTGGACAATGGCAGTGAGGTCCTCAGGACATAGGTTTGTTTAGAGTGACCTTCTCATAGATGGATGGCCTCACAGGGCTAACGGGCTCCATCTGCCCGGGGGACTGGCTGGGATTCGAACCTGGGTCGCAGAGGTGAGAGTCCTGCATGCTAACCACTAGGCCACCAGGGGTCCCCGAACAGCTAAAAACTAACGATTAAAAAAAAAAAAAAAAAAAAAATACACTTACAGCTTTTGAAAACGAATTACTACTTACAGGGGATTACTAAACACAAATACCTGTACCATTCAAATGACAAAAAGGACATTTGCCAAAGTTGAGCTAGCTTACAAATCATACAAATGCAAAACAATGGGAAAATATAGCTTTACTCATGAAATAAGATTTAAGGAAAACAAAACAACTTTCCCTCTATTCCATTTTTCACAGGATTAATTGAAAAAAATCTACCTTGTGCTGCTGCCACTACTTTCCTGGACTCTTCAATTGCTGGCACAATTTTCAAACAGTCTTGATCTTTATTCCAAAGAAAGAGCTCTCCTGTTGTAAGTATTCCTGCCAACCAAGCAGCTGTGTTCATTGGGGGAGAGAAGTTTTGAAGGATATTATTTTGAAGTACTTAAATTACTGCTCTTCCATCTTAGCCGCAGTTCTAAAGTTGACAGTAAACTGGTAGATCCTTTAGATATTCTTTCTAGACTGTTACAAACACAAATAAAATAACATGAACTTATAATAAATGAGATATTATACTTAACCATTTCCTGATGTTGTTAAGACAACCACATTTTTCAACAATGGCTGCAGCTGAGGGATTTTCTTCCTTGTCTTCCCTGATACCAGGTTAATTTCATTTATATGTTTACCATCTAGAAGAAAAATAGCCTCTTTTTCCTGTTAAAAGAATAAAAGAGCATTTAATTTTTTTAAATGTTATTGTCTACACAAGCCTGCAAAACAATGCAGACATAAAAAATGTTACAGTAAATAATAAAAAAAATTAATTTAAGAGCTGCAATTGCCATACTAACTTCATTCTTTGGCATATCTGCTTTACAGTACAACATCATATCTAGCATCAACCTACAGATGAATTTGATTTACAGGTTTCAAACTACCAAACTAATTTTACAGTCATTATTAAAAACTTCCTCAAAATAACTCTATCTGCTAAAAAGATAACAAAAATTGGACGCTATCTATCTTGTCTTGTAGTGTTTAATTTAGTGAGATATTTGTCAGTGATTCCAATTAAAAAAAAAAAAAAAAGAATTGGCCTCAAATTACTACCTACTTAAATTCCAATCACAGATGAGAAAAAAAAATTACCCTTGTTTTATCGAAAAAGTCTAAGAAAGCATGTCTTTCAACAAATGCAGGATGCAATGGGGAAAAAGAAATTGTTCACGTTTCCCACAACATACTGTAAAAAGTTATGGAAAACTAGAACCATCAAAACAACAATCTCATATAAGCGACAGGTCTTTTGTGAAGGAAAGGAAAAAAAAAAAGGCTCCGCATTGTTTCTCTGAGAAATCTTGAATCTCCAAGCTCATGTCAATAAGATAAAATCCCAAGCCATTTATTTTAATAACTCTTAATATGCATTCAAATCACTTCCTGAGGCTTTTTTTACCTACACCCTCCTCAAGTAAGTGGAAGTGCAAAGTATTATATAATTAGAAAACCTACTCTTAGCAGAATTTTATTTAAATAGAAGTTCATTACACTTACCTGTCCAACCCACGAGATGCGAGGCCACGGTTTTCTTTGCTTGATAGATGTAGAGATGAGCACATCGAGCTTGATCTCCATTCTTACTGAGCCTCTAGGTAACCATTATACAGAAAAGCAAATAGTGGCTCTTTCACACATTCATAAAGAATCTGAAGAAAGGAAAAACAAGCAAACAAAAAAAGGACCAGAAGTTTCTGTTATATTGGAGTGGGAGCAGAAGACGGGAATCCAGCCGCAAACTCTTGACTACAGCAGCTTCTCGCTGAACACAAACAGAGGTGATGCTTACCCGTATTTCCAAACTCTATTTCCGCTCGGGCCGCTCACGGGCGATGTGCTGTTCAGCGGCGCGGATTACATGCTCGTTCAGGTGTTGAGAGAGAGAAGCCGCAAAACAAAGTACATTGCTGAGAATTCTAAAAACACAGAAAACGGGGAAAACGCCCCGCAGCCTCCCAGGGCAGGGGATCAGGAATTCCAGCGGCTGGGACGCCCCTGGGAGGGCCGACCCGGAGCGGGGCCAGCCGCTCACCCGCGCCTGGGGACTTGGGGGCGGCACCGGCTGCCCCCGCCGCCTCCGTGCGCCATCCTCGGGAACCCGCCCTGCTTGTGCGAGCTCCTCCCTCGGGAAACGAACAGCGAGAGGAGCGGCGCGCCCAAAGCGATGCTCGCTCGGCACAGTCGTCGGAGCGGCAGCGCTGGGAGAGCCCCGACCTGGCGGCTCCGGCTCCGGCTCTGGCCCCGGCACCAGCCCCGGCCGCAGCCACAGCCCGCGCTCTGCCCCGCTCCCCCCGCGCCGCCGCAACCGCCGGGGCCGGGCCAGCGCAGGGCGCAGCCGCAGCACCGCCCCAGCTCTGCCCCCGCCCGCGTGGCTCCGGAGGGATGGTCCCGATGGGATGGTCCAGGTGGGAGGGTCCCGCCGCACAAGGGCAGATCTTCCTCTGCCTCCCTGAGCCAGGCTCAGCGTACAACCGCCAGCTACCCCTCCACTTCTGAGCCCGCCGGCTTGGCAAGCTGGGTGGGAGCCTCGCTCGCAGCCTAGAAAGCCAACCGCATCCCGAGCTGCATCCAAAGCAGCGCAGCCAGCAGGACGACATAGGTGATTCTGCGCCTCTAGTCTGCCCTGGTGAGACCCCACCTGTAGCATTGCGTCCAGCTTTGGGATTCCCAACACAGGAAGGACATATACCCGTTAGAGCGGGTCCAGAGGAGGGCAGCGATGATCGGGGGCTGGAGCACCTCTCCTATGAAGATAGACTGCGGTTGTCCAGCCTGGAGAAGGCTCTGGAGAGACCTCATTGCAGCCTTTCAGTAATAAACAGGGGCTTAAAAACAAGAGGGGGGGACTTTTTACAAGGGTGGATAGTGACAGGACAAGGGAGAACGGTTTTAAACAAAGAGAGAAATATTTTAGATAAGATGTTACAAAGAAATGCTTTGAGGGTGGGGAGGCACTGGCACAGGTTACCCAGAGGAGTTGTGGCTGCCCCATTGCTGGAAACATTCAAGGCCAGGTTGGATGGGGCTTTGAGAAACCTGGTCTAGTTGAAGATGTCCCTAGGGGAGTTGAACTATTTGACCTCTAAGGTCCCTTTCAACACAAACCATTCTGTGATCCTAAAAAGACTGGGGGTGTGGGAGTGAGCAAGTGGCTGATGAGGTTGCCAGATGAGATTAATTCATGACAATGTGAAATACAAGTTGTGTGAGCAGTCACTTTGTTTCAGCACTTTGAAGAAATGTGCTTGATTCCCTTAGAGCAGCTGTTCTTTCAAACTGCCACGTTTCTACCTTCCGCTACCTTTCCTTAATCACAGTCTTGACTGAGAATTAGTAACGCTAACACAGCAGGACAACAGTCCAATAAAAGTAATGATACATTTGTTCATAATGTTAATGACAACTGGTTCACATTTATGTTAGTCAGTTACTTCCCTCTAATTGTCACTATTTATTTAATCTACTGCATTAGCCCACCCATCTCCTCTGATCTTACCTTTTCACATCCCTCCAGATTTAAAATGGGAAACAGAACCTACCCTTTCTCCATCTGAGAGCTAAGCAAGTGTTATGAAAACAAAAGGTAACGTCTACACTGCAATTACCTCCTGTCATGTGAAAAATATCAGAGGTAATTTGTGATACACTTTGAAATACTCTTACTTTGATAAACTTGTAATGTTGCCAGAGGCATCCTTATTCTATTAACTAGAGAAAAAAAAACCCAGAAGAGTTGAACCTTCAGTCTGTGACTTGTGACTGTTCCCAACTCTTCAGTTAGTTCTCCAGATCTGAGAATAGAAATCTGCTTACATATATTACAGAATAACAACATACTTTCATGTAAATATTGAAATTTAGTCAAATACATCAGGCAAGACTGTGGACATCATTTGTATGAAGAGAACTGCACTAACTTAACCAGGGTAAATCCACATGATACCCTTGTTGTGAAACAAAGCTATTAGCAGAAAGTAACTTCTAATCTCTAAAGATAGTATATTTTATATGGAAAGATGCAAATCTTTTTCCCAGGACACACAGGATTTCCTCTATGTAAATACTTTGTTAGGAGATTTTAACACTACCAAAGGAAAAAAGCTAATAGTAATATTTCACATTTATTTTGATCTAAAGAGGTAAAAAAAAGATGCATTTTAATTTATACATTACTTCCCCGAGTGCATTCTTTGGCTTAAAATCATCAGAATGCATCTCGTAGTTCAGAGCGAAAGAAATGTACTCTAAGTAAAGTACAGTAATCAGATCTTGTAGAAAAGGCTCTGTAGAGCACTCATTTATCGTGTGAGGAGTAGAGGGATTGATGCTCACATTCTCCAGCACTTTTCATTCCCCTTGTCTGGACTCAAGGCCCTTTGGTGGGGGTCCCATGTCCTCTAGAGGCACTAGGAGGAACAGAGCGGAGCAGTGGAAGCGTGCTGAGCCCATAACCATTAGTCAATGGATTAAAACCACCCTCTGCTAATGGATTTTTTGTAAGGTACAAGAGCTAGCAGTCCCCAAAAGCACGAAGTTGGGCAAGGAAGGCAAGAAATCAGCACGGCAGAGTAGGGAACTGGTGCTAAGACTAAAGGCAATGAAGCAAATGCACAATCATTGGAAACTAGGACAGGGTACCTGGGAAGAGTATAGAGATGAAGTACGGCTGCGTAGGGATGAGGTGAAGATGGCCAAGGAGAAGCTGGAACTGAACCTTGTCAAAGGATGCAAAGAATATTAGAAAGAGCTTCTACAGGTATGTGAAGCCACGAGGTGCATCACAGAGTCCTGAGGAAACAGGCCGTAGTTCCCAAGCCACTCTTCATGATATCTGAAAGGTCACGGCCGTCAGGTGAAGTCCCAGGCACTGGAAAGAGGCAAAAATTGTTCCCATCTTTAAAAAGCGTAGAAAGGATGATTCTGGGAACTAGTGACCTGTCAGCCTCACCTCTGTGCCTGGGACAATCACAGAACAGATCCTCCCAGAAGCTATGCTAAGGCACATGGAGAACAGGGAGGTGATTCAGAACAGCCAGCATGGCTTCACCAACCTAGTGACCTTTTGTGATGGAGTGACTGCATCAGTGGACAAGGAAAGGGCTACAGATGTCATTTATCTGGACTTCTGTAAAGCCTTTGACATGGTCCCCCACAGCAGCCTTCTCTCTAAATTGGAAAGATGGATTTGATGGGTAGGCTGTGAGATGGGTAAGAAATGGTTGGATGTTGCACCCAGAGGATAGCGGTCAATGGCTCAGTCCCAATGGGAAGTGACGACCCTCAGGGGCTTGTGTTGGGACCGGTGTTATTTAGTACTTTAGCAATGACAAGGACAAAGGGATTGAGTGCACACTCAGCATATCTTGAGGTGAGTGATGCTGTTGACACACCTGAAGGATGGGATGCCATCCAGAAGGACCTGGACAACCTAGAGAACTGGGACCATGAGAATCTCATAAGGCTTAACAAGGCCAAGTGCAAGGTGCTGCACCTGGGTCAGAGCAACCACCAGCATAAACACAGGCTGAGGGATGAACAGATTGAGAGCCCTGGAGAGAAGGATTTGTAGGTGGTGGTAGATGAGAGGCTGGACATGACCTAGCCATCTGCACTCACAGCCCAGAAAGCCAAACATGTCCTGGGCTGCATCCAAAGAAGCATGGGCAGCAGGTCAAGTGAGGGGAGTCTAGGAATATACACAACTTGATGTTTGAGTGCATGTAAGGAAAGTAGGCAGAAGTCATTTCATGACTTCTTTATTTGATTTTAACAGATACAACATTTTATTAGAATGGAATAGGGAAAATAATTTGATGAACAATATTAAAAGTTTTTTCACTATCAATAAAAATTAGATTGCCAATTTCTGCAGCTTCATCCCAAACGTTCTATTTAGAGAGGCAGGCTGTATTTAAAGTGACAGTTATGAAATAATGATTATCTTTGTTATTGTAGTTATGACTGCATCATTACTCCTCCGTATGACCACATTTACAACCTGACTCATCTACATACACTTTTATCATCATTCTGCAGTTGTCATTTCTTGTTTTGATAATTCCAAAACACTATCAAGTAGATTTTGCATCCTGATTTTCCTCATTACTTTAAGTAAAAATATTTTCTAAATATTCTTATCCCCAAGGCAAAGATCAAACAATGTATTTTATTTCAACATTAAAAAAAAGCTTTCTCTTGTTAAAAAAATGGTAGTAGTAAAAGAAACTCCATTTGTCACATTTACATTCTACATTTTGTAGATACCTTTAGAATAGCATGAATACATAATAGAAAACTGCAGCAGGAGAAACAACTTCCTCAAGATTTTTTTCTGAGGATTTGCTCTTTCAGAGATTCAGTGCAGTTTACATTACCTGCACTAACGATTCTGTTACTGCACTAGTCAATCAGGGAAGTCGTTCTAACTTGGCCTGTAGAGATTTAAAATTCCCAATAGTTGTCTGAACCATTAGTGTCGGGCTCATAGACTGAAGTTCAACCAGGTAGCAACTGACAGCATCCAAGCAAACATTTGTGAATCTCCGCCTGTTAAAAGAACACAGAATAATAACAAGCTCCTTTTTGTTCCTGTATATTAGAATTAACCTGAAATAGAAAGTGAGCATTCTTTGAGTTTTAATGGAATAACATATCAGGAAGATATCTGTCAGCTACTTTTAGTTTTCAACTATTTATTAGAAAAAATTATTTTTGAAATCTAATGCTTGTGACTACGGCATAATGGGAAAATAAATGAACCATTACTTCTTATTGGATATTAAATATAAACTCTAAAACACGATACAGTTATTAGCAATGTGAAATATTTAATATTTAGATACTACTTTAGATATGAATACAGTCAATGTATTAGTTACTAATTTAGATAGCAATTTAAATAAATTAGA